GCAGCTGGTCACACACCCTTCGGGGGGGGGGTCCCCACTGGGGTGCCTGGCCAGTCTGGGTGAGGGGCTAAGGGCTGTTTCCAGGCTGGCGGGTGACAGAAGCTCCCAACGGCTCCTTTTTTTCTTTTCTTTTTTTTAATTCTGGGCCAGCTTTAGCTCTGAGGCTCCTAATCGAAACAATGTATAACTCCAGCTCTGAGATCCCAGCTAGCTGAAAGCAGATTTCTGGAGTTTTTTTTAGCTTCTATATGTTACTATGTTTCAAACTGCCCGCTCAGAGGCCTGCAGCGGCAGGCAGGGAATGTTGGAGTCCTCTGTCACTGAAGCAAGGAAGCCTCATGTTCAGTTTAAGCTGCCTGGCTGCCGGCCGCCATCTTGGCTGTCAGTTAATTTGCATATCTCGATGATTAGCCAATGAAAAGGGTAGCAGTCGTACGCCAATTACCATGTTTCTCTTTTATTAGTGTAGATGGGAATGACAAGGAGAAAAAAAGACTCAATTTAGGACAAATCAATGGTCATGAGCAATATCCTAGTATTCATCAATTTTCTAATAGCCTTTCAATCAGGGCACACCATTAAGTTTGGCAGCCGAATCAGAGAATTTTCTAATAATTGAGGGTGAGACGATACTCTGGTAACTTCTGAAAGGGAAAACAGAAATCCCTGTAAAACATGATACTTTTTATTTATAATCTTCTACTAGTGCTGTTGGCTTCTTTTCAGAAACAGATTAAATTACCTCCTCCTTTTGGTATGCTGGTAAAAGGAAGAAGCTGTGTGACTTACCAAAGGGTACATGGGTGGGATTTGAATCAAGATCCTCTGGGACCAAGTCCAGAGTCCTTTACATGTTATGGAGCTGATTCCAGTTTCAGACTCTGGTCAAATTGTTATTCTCCACAATGTTCCAAAATTACATTTGTGTTAGCAACTTTGTCCTTTAAATGTAAATATTTCCTGCTTCCATTCATACCTTAGTCTGAAATAGAATCCTGGAAATTCAATCAGAAAGGATAAAAAAGTCATTAAGGCCAAAGACCGAATTAATGATCAAATATCCTAACAACATTCTGGAGTATTTAGTTTAATTTAAAGTGGCCACTTTCCTCCTATCTAACCTGAATCTGTTGTGACTGCTCACTGAGAAAACACAGGCCTGGTTTAAATGATACAGAGTATAACATGAAGTTATCAGATTCTTCTATAAGAGTTGTTAGGAGGTAGGTGATGGGTATAAAGGTGGGGCAGTAGCCTGTAAAATTTTGCCTCTCTTAAAGTGCCTGTACAAAAAGTCATGTTGAATGATTTTTCTCCAATAGCTGTAAATAAGAATGTTAATACGGTACATAGATTTAGATCCAGTAGTGAAAAGTTGTGCCAAGAATCACTCAATCATTTGGTAACCAATAAATTAGAAGATAAAATGGAAAATCTTACCAATATATTTACCAGCCCAACTTTTATTATCTTTGCTAATCTTTTCAGTCTGTTATTTGGCAAGTCTAAATGCTCCCTGCTAGACTTCTATAAGCTCAAAAATACTGACTTTAGCTTCATTCTGAGGATGAAATATGGGACACCAATTTCTGTGATAACAGTATGACTATAATATAATTCAGCTGAATATTAGCCAACTTATAAAAAGCACAATAAACTAATTTTAGGTCAGCTATGATGCATCCACAATAAAGAGAATTTGCATTGCAAAGGGGAATAAACTTAGTCAAGAAAAGTCTGATTTCATCGGTTATCATGAAAGTATCTAGAATAATCAGCAAAGTACAAATGGCTTTGAGACTGACTGGACTCAGAACGAAAACACAAATAGCCTAGTCAAAAGTCACTGGTTATAGTCTTCCCAAAACTACTGTAAGACTTGAACATAGCTGTTTAACCCCCAAAATTTACAGATGCAAAGTACCATGCATTATCCTTTCCTGTTCTTACGATACACCAGAAACCAAATTATATGTTTAATAATACCAATTTCCATTTGCATAACACTTTACAGCCTCTGAAATGCTCACAGATTTCTCATTCTAGGATAGCAAAATACGTCATGCTTATTATGTAGATATCTGAGCACAGAGTCTAAGACACTTGCACAATGTCACAGAACCAACTAAAATGTAGAGGCAGATTTTTTTCAATATTCGTTCATTCAACAAATCGTTAGAATACTAAGACTTTGTTTTAGGGCCCAGTCAATGGCAGATACATAAAAGTGGAAGAGAGACAACAAACAGTAAACATACAGGACATAAGATTTTAGATAAACGCTTTAATTTTAGATAAATTTAGGTAAGTTTGAAATAAATGCTATAAAGAGTACATGGTAATGGATACAGTGGTTGTAGAATGGCACAACCAGAGGTCAGAGATGTTCTAAGGAGGTTACATCTGAACTAAGGCCCGAAAGAGGATGACAAATCACCCATGTGAAGGTCTACAAAGGCATCCCAGGCAGAGGAAAATGTAAGTATAAAGCCCCAGGGGCAGGAAAGATCATGGACAACAAGGTGACCAGACACCTGACGTGGAGTAAGAGGGAAGAGAGGGAAGAGGGTGCAGGGACAGTGGACTGGTTATATAGAGCCCTTAGACCACTCACTCCAGGAGGTAGGAGTCAAAGTGAAATTGGAGACATAGGTGGGATGATCTCATTTTCGTTTTAAAGAGATCTTTCAAGCTGCCAAAAGAAGAAACAACTGTAATACAATCCTCTAGCAACACCCCCTTAAGATTCAAAAGTACCAGTAACAGTCTATTCCTTAGAGAACATTCCTGGAGAGTGGATGCATGGGTACTTGTTACCTTTGAGACTTTACATGAGTATTATACACTTTTCTGTACAAAATTCCATTTTTAAAAGTAAATCATACGGGTGTAAGGGTGGAAGCTGAAAAACCACCAGGACGCTTCTGTTAACAGTCCAGGTGTGAGCTGATGGTACCTTGGGAGCAGAAGTGAAAAGTAATGGGACTTGTAATATACATAGCTCAGAAGTACGGTAAGTAAGTCTTCCCGATGGACGCAGGCAGGGGCAGGAATCAAGGCTAACCAGTGGTTCTCAATGTGGGATGGTTTTGCCTCCCAGGAGACATTTGTATTATCTGAAGACATTTCTAGTTGTCACAATTGGTGGGGAAGGGGGTGATGGGCTACTGGCCTTTATGGGTAGAGGCCAAGAATGCTAAACATACTATCATGCACAGTAGTACTGCAAAACAAAGACTTACTTGGCTAAAAAGTATTATAGTGCTGAGGTCAAGAAATCCTGATCTAGACTGATTCCAACTGATTCCCATCCCAGAATATCCATATTTCCAGGAGAATCTACAACAAAACGCCCCAAAACCTAGAAATGGCATTCCTTATTTTCATTATTTAGAGACAAGTAAAACTGTTGTATACATGAAATAAAGTTTATTTGTTTAGAGATCAATTAAATCACTGTGGTTAACTCTACGTTGATCAGATCTAATTGGTACATAAGTCTAACAAAATACAAAAAATTAATTACTGATTAATAAATGCCACTTGTTGAACACTTTCTCAAAATGCAAGTAGAAAACTTCTATTTGGCAACACTGCCCAACACGGCTTTTAATTTTTCTTTCTACCAGCTGGTTTAATCTGCAGTCCAATACCTCCACTACTTCTCCAAATAAAAATTCCTCCCCAAATCTAAAGAGATGGCTACAAACGCTGGATAGATAATCAGAACTATAACTGGATGCGATGGGAAGAAAATGATAACCCACTTGTATGTAGGTGCATGTATAAATCTGTTTAGTTTTCTGTCTTCTTTTGGGCCTTGAGCAAACGGACACATTCATTTTAGATATCAGAGGACTGCAGCACGCATTTCTCTCAATCACTCGAAGACCAGCGATAGGAAAGATCCTCTACAGACCTCATTAACAAAACACAAAATGCTCAAGTTGGTAAAGTTCATTTTACCTCCTTCTTCCTTATCTAAAAGGAGAGAATCTGGAAGAGGCCCCTGTGACAGTCTCCCACAGCACCCTCCGAGCCTGGGACTGCTGTTCATGCAGTGAATTCCGTGCCGTTATACTGGGGAAGGTCTGAGGATCTGAAATTATTTGGTAACCGGAGTAGATAGCAGAAAAGACAAAAGTAATTATCTAGTCCGAAAAGGGCAGTTCAAACATTACCGTCCATCTGCGTTCTCACAGGTGGGGCCGGGGGAACCTATTTCTAAGAAGTTACAAAGTCACTTTTGATTAAGAAAAGGATGCTGTTCTTACAAGGATCTCAATGAAATTGGTCATGGACACACAGACGACTAGGTTACCAAATCTGGTTAAAACTGAGTTTTAGGAACAATTTACGTCTTTTAAAGGATTTAAAAAAGGGGGAAGGGGGAAGACAGCAGTCATATCATCACAGCCTCAGACGCATTATTTACCCAAAAGCATCTCACGTGGTAACAGGCCTCCGGTCTGAATTCACCCCCTTTTGTGATAAAACTTAAATAATCTAACCATCTAAGAAGTAAAATACAGGGGCACTTTACTACCCTGAAAATCATGCCGAGCTCCCGCTAGACCGGGTGGACGTTTTCGGGAGCATCACCTCGCGGCGACCAGCGAGCGCTCTTCCCTGGCGGTCTCCGGCCGCAGTGACCTCGGGACGCTCGTGACGTCACCCTCTTGCCTACGGATACGCAGAATGACCCCCAACGTAAAATTCACCGACACTAACTCCCTCGGGCAGCGGCCGTTAAGCAGCTTTTCTTCGGGCTTTCAGACACTCGATCCCACCGCGGTCGCCGCGCCGCCCTCTACTCCCTAAAGGGGCAGCCACACAGCCTCAGCACCGGAACGCGCGAGCGGGGCACCCTCACTAACCACAATCTCGCGAAACCTTAAACGCAATTCTCGCGACATCCGCCTGCGTGCCGGTCCTTTTTTTTTTTTTTAGACCCCACCTCTACACAGCTACTTGCTTAGAAACATCGCGAGATTTGCTGCTTTCAATCTCCGCCCCTTTACGGCACGATGGTCGCACAAGAATGTGATAGAGGCTCCGCGGCCGCCATTTTCTTTCTTTCTTAGCAGTTGGCTGAGAGAAGGTCTGTGTGGAGAGCGGTAGCGGCTACGGTAGGGTAGAGATGGCAGACTATTCAACAGTCCCTCCACCCTCCTCTGGCTCAGCCGGCGGCGGAGGGGGCGGCGGCGGCGGCGGAGGCGTTAACGATGCTTTCAAAGATGCGCTGCAGAGAGCCCGGCAGGTAAGCCGGGGCCGCGCGGCGGGATCCCGACGGCTCACGGTAATTGGTCGCTGGCGGAGTAGGCCGCTATTTCTGTAGGCGCGGAGGAAGAGGGAAGACATGCTCTTCCGGGCTCAGAAATGTGCGGAGACTCACGTTTCCCCACGTTGGCGGTGCCGGTCAGAGGCTTAGAATGAGGTTTCGTGTTCTTGCTGTCTCAGCCCGTGGGAACCCCCACGCGTGCCGCGCTCAGATGGCCTGGGCTCTGTGTCCTCCCCTGCGGCACACGCGCTCCTCTCAGGAGTGAGCATGTCCTCCTCAGATGGAGCACGGTCCCCCCCGTGGTAGAAAGCGCGCCTAGTTTCACACAATAGCGTGGAAGGTTCTGGCCGTGAGTTTCGTTTGGGAGGGAAACCGGGGTCTGCCCCCCGGAGCCATGGGAAGGGGAGGATATGCCGGGAGAGCGGTCTTCACGGCCCTCGCTTCGCAGTTAGTCTGTCGGAGTCGTTCGCTTTCTCGGTGACGAGGAAGAGACTTGGGAAAGTACCGGATCCCGGGTGGGATTGCTTCCTCGTGGCGGGATTTCCGTGTCCGCGTGAGGCCAGTCCTTCCCCCCCTTATTTCTCAAAATGGCTTCGGTCCCATTTTACCCCCAAGTTTCCATTTGAATCTGCCTCTCTGTTCAGAGTGGTAAACTGACCACCTCTTTGTATTACATAGGTGCATACGTTTGCCCCGAAGGCACTTCTTTCACGTATGAAAGCTTTAAAAAAAAAAAAAAAGCACATGTACCTCCGGAAGTAAAAATCTCTTCATTTGAACTTCCATCTTTATTGGGAAGTACGTTAATATAATTATAACTTTAAAATGCGTGCTATTGGTCTGGACTTGTAAGTAAGCAAAATTGAGAGTCTTTCTCTCGTTATGACACTAGGTATAACAGGTGCCAGACATTTTTAGACGTTAGTGGTAAACGAATGGTCATCAGAAACTAATTTTGTGCTATGCTTTGATTGTATTAGGAGTTCACTTAATTTTTTTTACCCTCCAGTTAAAGGACTATTTCAGTCAAAATCCATAAAATCGGTAGCGATGTAACAAATCGCTCTTTTGTAATGTGAGCACATTATAAATGAAAATGTACCTGTACTTGTTTATAGTCAGAATACTCAGGAGAGTCGAGGGAACGTAATCATTAATACTAAATCTACAGTTTTCTCACTTAATTTTCATTTATCCTGAACATGTTTTGAATAGCGACTGAGACATTTACATAATGACAGGACCTCTGTTAGTGGTGTTTTATTAGATTGGGTTGAAAGACTCCCCTGAATTATTTTTATTCCACCAGCATATTTAATTATTTTGTGCCACACACTATACTTAGATACTAGAGAATTTTTAAATGTGTGAATTGGGGTTTCTGGCTTCTAGGAACCAAATGCAAATGAGTGGTTTTCGGAAAGAAGTGGGCGTAAGGACAGTTAATCTATTTGTTCTATAAACATATGTAGAGTTCCTACTATGAGTTAAGCACTGTACACACCACCAGCGAGTGGGGTGCCTAACTGTCAAAGTAAAGGACTGGCACTTTAAGCAAGACATTCAAGAATGAGTGGGGCCCTAACCGGTATAGTTCAGTGGATAGAGCGTCCGCCTGCGGACGGAAAGGTCCCAGGTTCAATTCCAGTCAAGGGCATGTACCTTAGTTGCAGGCACATCCCCAGCAGGAGGTGTGCAGGAGGCAGCTGATCGATGTTTCTCTCTCATCGATGTTTCTAACTCTATCCCTCTTCCTCTCTGTAAAAAATCAATAAAATATATTTAAAAAAAAAAAAGAATGAGTGGGAGTTTTAGAACCCAAGTATGATGTCACTGGAGGTATCGTGTTGGGTGAGGCAAGAAGTGAGAAAAGTTACAGATGGATACAACTTCTGAAAGACTACTTTAATAAAAAAGTAGGTTTCATGATTTGGCTAGGCTATAATTTCCTGTTAACTTAGACTGCTTTCTTACTGTGGAAATTGTCCTCAAACTGGAATTTTTTGTACTCTTTACATGCTACTAGGTCAGCTGCCCCAATGCCCTTGATGTAATGATCCTTTATAGATAGATGTCTTTGATGTAATAATTTGATTGTTTCTTTACAGACTTGATCTTAAATCTGAGATTTCCCTATTTAGCTTCTGATTACATTTTAGGATGCTGTTTGTCTTATAGAAGTGGAATGTTGGGAAGAGTACTTGGACTGAAGGAACAAGTTAGGTTAATATTTAATCACTTTTTCCTAAAGGACATTGAATTATATTTCCAAAATTCCCATCTAACCTTAAGTTTCATTGCTTTGTCCAAAGTATTATGCTGCGTTCTTTGGAAGGGAGAGTTACAAGAACAGCTTCTTGTTCTCAAAGAGCTGTGTACCTATGGGCATTTTTGGCTGGACAGTTATTTGTTGGAAAGCAGGATAAGTGATTAGGATTCCTGGGCCCTCCCTACCTAGTAAATGCTAGTAGCATTTATACCAGCTGACTGTTGCCATCTGGTAGTTTAGGCCAAGTTGCCAAACTTTTTCTTTTTTTCCCCCCAGAGAATCCTAGTTGTTTATTTTTAATGTGAAATTTACAGGTTTTTATAAAAATACTCTGTGAGCACAGGGCACCAGATTAGATTGCTTCTCTGGTTTAGGGTTTCCAACCTGTACACTTTAGAAATTTTATGTTTTTGTATTTCAAGCTGTGACTCCAGAAGGTGAATATATTTATCTGGTAATCACATCTACACTAATCTACACTAATAAAAGACAAACATGCAAACTGACCATACCTTTGCTACACCTTAAGCCACGCCCACCAGCCAATCAGAGCAGCTATATGCAAATTAACCCAACCAAGATGGCAGCCACAGAGTTGGAGCAAGCAGGAGTTTTGGTTGCCCCAATGATGGAGAAAGCCAAGCTTCCTGCCTGCCGCAGCAGCTCTGAGCTCCACTCAAAGCAACAGAGTTTCAATTATAGAAGATAAATAAACCCCAGATACCTGCTTTCAGTCGGCTGTGGCCACAGAGCTGGAGCAAGCAGGAGGCTTGGGTTGCCCCTGGTGATGGAGGAAGCCAAGCTTGCCTCCCACCCGCCCTGGCCGGCTCTGAGCTCCTCTCAAGGCTACAAAGTTTCAATTATAGGAGGTAATTAAATCCCAGAATAAAAAGAAAAAAAGGAGAGGCTGAGAGCTTCCGTTGCTGGAGGAACGCCAGCCTGAAAATAGCCCTCAGCTCCTCACCCAGGCTGGCCAGGCACCCAAGCGGGGCCCCCACCCGTGCACCAGGCCTCTATCCCATATAATAAAAGGGTAACATGCAAATTGACCCTAACAGCAGAACGACTGGGAATGACTGGTCACTATGACAGACACTGACCACCAGGGGGTAGGTGCTCAATGCAGGAGCAGTCCCCTGGTGGTCAATGTGCTTCCACAGGGGGAGCTCTGCTCAGCCACAAGCCAGGCTGATGGCTGCCAGTACAGCGTGGTGGTGGGAGCCTCTCCCACCTCCTCAGCAGCACTAAGGCTGTCCGACTGCAGCTTAGGTCTACTCCCTGCTGTTAAGTGGACATTCGCGAGAGGGCACAGGCTAGGCTGAGGGACTCCCAACCCCTCCTCCCCCCCCCCAAGCCCCCTGTGCACAAATTTTTGTGCACCAGGCCTCTAGTTAAATAATGAGTTCTGTCTCTGAGCATTGGAAAATTAAAATGTACCTATCCACTTTTTTTATCAATGTTCTATGACGATAGAAGTGAATCAGACAGAGGCTGAGACTAAATGAATAAAGTGGTAGATCACTTTTTCCTAAAGGACACTGAATTATATTTCCAAAATTCCCATCTAACCTTAAGTTTCATTTCTTTGTCCAAAGTATTATGCTATGTTCTTTGGAAAGAAGAGGTATAAGAACAGCTTATACAGTGGTAGATCACAAGTTAGCAAAAATATCAAACTTCATCCATTCTGCTTAACTAGTAAATTAGTTAAGTACTCAGTAATTCTTTTTTTATTATTACTGATTTGAGGCGGGGGGGGGGGGGGGGAAAGAAAGAAAGACATCCATTTGTTGTTCCACTTATTCTTGCATTCATTTGTTGATTCTTGTATATGCCCTGACCGGAGATTGAACCCACAACCTTGGTATATGGGGACCATGCTCCAAACAACTAAGCTACCTGGCTGGGGCCAGTACTCAATTATTCTTGATATTTCTTCCTTGATAATTATAAATTGCATTATGTTTGAATGCAATGAAAATTTTATAAAATAGAATTGTTGATTTTAATTACCATTAATCCCATCAATGAAAACTAGCATTTGAGTGTGACTTTTTTAAACAATTTGGGACAGAATAGCAAAGTTTGATTATGATAATAAGCAAAGGTTCCTGTTTTGTAGAGAGGTGACAGTGTTAATAAAATGGTGGCCTTGTAATATTTCTTGTGTCCTTCATGCATCTTCACATTTCTGGGACATGGGAACCATCAAAACCTGGCCCTTAGCGGGTACTTAGTATTTATTCAATTGAATGAAAAAATATCTTTAATGAATTTAGGTAGTAATGAAATTTTGTTTTGAAAATAATTATGTTCTTGCAGAAATTCATTTGTTGAATACCCACAATATGGTTATGTCAGTCTTAGGGTTTCAGTCTTAGGGATAACAAAGAGAAATCGCATACCTTAGTCTCCAGCGGGCAGTTTTCACAAGTAGAATGTAACTACATATGTCTTCAGGACAAATAAAAATTGTTAAAATTTTAAAATGCAAATATTTGATGTGCAAACCCTGCTTTATCGTTTGAATTATAGTATGCTGGTCTGTTTATAATAACTAGCAATTAATATACTATGTTAGGTTCTGTGCTAAACTTGTATTCATTTAATTCTCACAACCATCCTTCTAGGTAAGTATAGAAAAAGGTTATCTTCTTTGTATAGATAAGGTGAACAAGGTACAGAATGCACAGGAAAATTTGGCAGGGACCCAAATTAGTTGAACCAGAATCACAACCCACTCCAAATCACAGTAGTACTGCAAACCGAAGGAAGCATGCAGTGGACTGAAAATTAGGAGCTAGTCATCTGAGGTATTTAGGTAGTTTGCTTCTGAGAATCAGCTTCTGATTTTTTAAAAATAATATCTAAAATCAGGTGATATGACTAAATAATCTCTTAAGTATTCAGGGTTGTTGGATAGTGGGAACAGTCTATAAAGAAAGATAGAAAATGCTAAAACATTAAAACACCAAAAAAAATTTACTCACTTGAAGTCCAAATGAAAAGCTTGAGTTATTGTAAATTAAAATAAAAAATGTATTAGACTTAATTTTACTAGTCCAGTAATACTTTTATATATAATTGGAGGTTGGCTTTTAGGAACTACTGTTTCTCTTAAATTAATCCTCCTTTCAATGACTTAGGACAGCAATTTTCAACCTGTGTGCCACAAGAATTTTTAAACATTCAATATCTGATTATTTAGTCAGGAGTACTGACCTCTTTTCCCTTAGATTGTCAAATGAAAAAAATGACAACAGCCAACTCAACAATAGCTGTCTGAGTGAATGAGCCAAAATTGTATGTGTGATCAGAAAAAGTTTTTTTGGTGTGCCACAGAACTTTAGTAATTTTGTGTGCAATGAGGTTTTTTTAAAAAAGGTTGAAAATCGCTGACTTAGGAAATGTATATTTTCTTTTGATTTTGGAGAATTGAACAAATCTGTATTGATAGTATTTTTACCAAAAGCTCTTCTTTGATGTCTTCGTATTTTGAATTTTTGAGATGGTGTTACTGGTTCTTTTTAACCCTAAGGTCACCTATTCGATCCCTGGTTAAGGAGGGTACTGGAGGCAACCAATTGATGTTTCTCTCTCCCTCTCTATTGAATGAATAGGGAGATAAAAATAAGTGTACTTTCTCTGCAGAAATTCCAACGAGTGCTGCTTTGCAGATTTATAGAGCATTTATAAAAGCTAACTGTTGGAGATACTCACAGCCTAAACTATTTTCCAGTCATTGGTGTCACTATTTTCTCTGTCCTAAAATACTTTCCTTAACATCAGTGTCCATCAATATTGGCAGTATAGTTAAGTTCCTAAGGAACAATTCAGTGCTACGTGTTTTAAAGCTTAAGGGTAGACAGAACTGTCTTGACACAATTTGAGCTTGCTATAGCAACAATTTTTTAACATATTGCAGTGCTCTCCTCTATTTGACAAGCAATTATATAGACTTAGCATTAAAAAAAAAACCCTTAAGGATGGAAAAGCAGTTTTCAGGTATGATGAGAAAATCTTAGAAAAGAAATAAGGTTTTAATTAGATGCTCAAAGATGCAAACAGACTTTTGAGAAAGTGAAAGATGATTAAGGAAGGTTAGATTGACCAAAGCTCTAGTATCCTTAATTCTAATATGCTTTGCTATATGTGTTTGCATGTAGAAAAAGGGAAATCTAGTAACCCTGGGAAATATAGTTGCTATGTGGAAATATATATATATATGTGATATATTGGATTTACGACTCAAGTTTCTGAATATACTCTTACTTTCTCTAATTTCCTAATTATAATGAAGCTTGAGGTATAGTTGGTTTAGTTCCACATCAGGACATCTTTGGGGGAATTTCAGTTACCAAAAGTTCGATTTTCCATTTAATTTTTTATCGTGGAACATTTCAAACATGCTCAAAATTGAAAGAATCCTATCTAATAAAAGAGAAACATGGTAATTAGCCGTACATCCACTACCCTTCCCATTGGCCAATCAGGGCGATATGCAAATTAACTCCCAGCAAAGATGGTGGCCGGCAGCTTGAAGCGAACATGAGGCTTGCTTGCTTCAGTGATGGAGGACTCCAACGTTCCCCGCCTGCTGCTGCCAGCCTCTGAGCTTGCAGTTTGAAACATTGTTACAAATATAGAAGCTAAACAAAACCCCAGAAACCTGCTTTCACCCAGCCGGGATCTCAGAGCTGGAGTTGAAACAGTGTTTTGATTATAGAACCCAAACAACCCAGATACCTGCTTTCAGCAGCCGAGGCCTCAGAGCTGGAGCCAAGCCTCAGAGCTAAAGCTGGCCCAGAATAAAGAAAAAAAGGAGCGTTTGGGAGCTTCAGTCACCTGCCAGCCTGAAAACAGCCCTCAGCCCCTCACCCAGACTGGCCAGGTACCCCAGTGGACCCCCCACCCTAAAGGGAGTGTGGCCAGCCTGAAAACAGCCATCAGCCCCTCACCCAGGCTCGCCAAACCTCCATGGGAGCCCAGATGAGAGAGGGTGCAGGCTGGGCTGAGGAACCCCCCCCCCCAGTGCACAAATTTCATGCACCGGGCCTTCTAGTCCTATATAATAAAAGCATAATATGCTAAGTATCCAAGTCTTCCAGTCATCCGTTCAACTAATCAAAGCATAATATGCTAATGATATGCTAAGGCTCCTCAACCGCTCTGACCACAGGGGCAGAAACTCCAACTGGTAGGTTAGCTTGCTGCTGGGGTCCAGCCCATCAGGACTGAATGAGACAGGTTGGACACACCCTGGAGCCCTCCTGTGGTCCCTCCCCAGGTGGCCAACCGCCTGCAGTCCCTCCCCAGCCCCAATCCCTTGGCCTGGCCTGCACCCTCTCACAATCCGGGACCCCTCAGGGGATGTTGGAGAGCTGGTTTCGGCCCAATCCCACAGGCCAGGCTGAGGGAAAATTTTTGTGCACTGGGCCTCTAGTGATGTAATATGAATTCACCCACTTTAGTGATTATCCCCCTCATAGTAATTATAGCATGGGACTGTGCAGAAATTGGGACATCAGTATTGACTAACTTTGTAATCTTAGTTAAATTAACCTTTTAAATTTTTTTTAACTGTAAGATATATCTACTTCACTAATACTTTGTACCTCCTAGGGATGTTAATGATTATTCAATGACAAAATGAATATGAAACATTTATAGTGTGGAGCATGGCCTGTTGTTGGCACTCCACAATATTAGTTTCATTTCTTTCATAGAAAAATGCAGTAAATGTCCACTGGTTGTGCCTCACTTGTTACTTGAGGCTGGTATTTCAAGTATAATGTTTGTTTAGTCAACTTCAGGCAATTATTTGGCCCAGTCTAGTAGTTAAGTCTTTAAGGAAAAATTACTTATGTCTCTGTTTCTGAGGCTTTCTTGCTCCCATGTTTCCTTAGTGCAAGATTGTCCAATAGAAGTATAATGCAAGTCACACACATTTTATTTAGTCCAACATATCTAAAATATTACTATTCTAATATGTGTTCAATATAAACATTTTGAGATGCTTTACATTCTTTAGTTAATTTCAAGTTTTTAATATCTGTATATTTTACACTTCAAAGTATATCTCCAATTTGGACTATTTTAAGTACTCAGTAACTGCATTGGCTAATGTCTGCCCTATTAGACAACACAGCCTTAGAGTTCCACAGGTATTCACATTCTCTGTGCCCACACACATCTCCTGTGGAGTCATGGGAGAGAGCCATGGCAAAGATAGAATTAGGATGCAGATTTTCTTGAAAGCTATTTGGTCAGTCTTAAGGTTCCTAATTGATTACTTCTTTGTTTGTTCTTATATGAAAAGCTTAATTTCAGGTGATTATTTGTTAACTCTGGAGTTATTAATGATAGTAATGTACTATAATTTGTCTTTTTGTCAAATTAGTTTTTATGTGAGTATTTGACATATATAGGTATTAGGAACTATATGAGGAAATTGAGTACTAAATAGCATATAGTAGTTGTGGTGCTCTTCTTAATGATAGTATGTTTTTGTTTTTTAAGATTGCAGCAAAAATTGGAGGTGATGCTGGTACATCACTGAATTCAAATGACTATGGTTATGGGGGACAAAAAAGACCTTTGGAAGATGGAGGTAAGTTATAGCCATAAGTATTTTTGTTTTACACAGTTTAGTTAAAGTAATTTTTACAATTTTTCAAATGTTATTGTATTGAAACATTACTTTTATCATAAGGTTCCTAAAATTGTAAGGCTTATATTGCCCTCAAAAGGAAAGGGGGGAAAAGAAACCTAGACAAGGTAAGTAAAATTTTAGTCAGTTTTGTCTTATTAGAAAACATCATTTTTCTTTTAAGATTGTGCCAGATTGACAGTTTGCACAGACGACTTGTTAATATTCTGGGGGATGGGGGGGATGAAAAATTAAATGTTTAGGGGACATTTCACAGGTTTTTCTCATCATACATGAATTAAATCTTTATATGCTATATATTCATTGTTCTGCTATTTCAGATTTCACGTTAAAGGTTGAAGTTGCCAACGTTTGCTATTCTAGTGTGTTGCAGATTATACCATTTTATTGTTACATTTTTATTTATTTTAGTACCTTGTTTTGTGTTTCAGGTTTAACTCAATGTGGCTTAAAGCAGTAGATTTACAGTGCCTTGTATTAAAAAAAAACAATTATTGAAGTTTCTGAATTTAGAAGTCAGCACATATTTTTGTTTTAGATTTGATGTATGAAATTTTGATACAATTTCTTTTTGCCTTTTTATTTTTTTAAGAGGAGGATTCTGAATGAGCCTATAGAATGTATTTGTAGCTTTTGACCAGGAGTACTTGGTTTTATTAAGTGATTTTCACATTTACAGTGAGGTTTTAATATACAAAACAAAAAATGAGCTAATGATGCTTCAGATGTTGTATGTAATGTATTCTTTTTATTTTATGTGTAGATGGCTCTTGGACAAGTCCGAGCAGTACAACACACTGGGAGGGAATGCCCTCTCCTTTTAAAGGCAGGAATTTTTATTTATTACCTGTGTTTAGTATGTAAACGTGAAATAAACCAGTGGATTCTGATATGGACACAGTATTTCTTGGATTATGTGTCTGAATTTTTGCTGTACAACATTCTGATGTTTAATTAACTTTGAAGGGGGGAGGAGAATAGTACTTTATCAGTTGTTTATTGTAAGGTATGCATTGTATTCATCTGTAAAGGATGTAGATGAAGGTAGTCATGTAGTTGCTTTGAGTTTCTGCTGAAGTTTATGCCTTGATATGTTTGGTGAAGAACAATAGAACAGTTTAGGTCGAGATTGCCTTGTAATGTCATTTTAAAATTTATTTTGCATAGCTTTGTGGTCACTGTCTGATACACTCAACTTTTGATATGTCAACTTTTCACATTTGATAGGTCTTCTTTTCTTCCAGTCTTCAGTTCCTACAGTGGGAAGCATCATTAGCCTTTAGCATGTGATATTTTGCTAGTAATGGACCTAAATACTTTGTCTTATAACATTCTAAAGTGCTTAACATACATTAAGGTCAGTGATTTGATACAATCAAAAAGAATTTTTTTAAAAAATGTCTGTGCATCTTTTAAACATGAACAGTTTGGGCTACGTTTTGGCACTTTTGGTTCAAATTACACAATACCCTCAGCTATTTCAATAAATGTTTATATTGATATTCTTGCTTGGGCAGGGGAACTGATTCATATATTTGTACTTATTGGCAAAAAAATTAAAAGACATTTAATTTTGCAGATCAACCAGATGCTAAGAAAGTTGCTCCTCAAAATGACTGTAAGTATTAATTTGAAGTTGGGTTAAAAAATAAAGTAACTGGATTTTAATTAGGGTTTTGTTCCTATCTTTTGTTGGGTATCTTTGAAGTTAGTTGGAGGCCATGAATATTATGTTATAATGAATTTCTTTGTAAATATGTGCATCCTATCTTTATGATTTTTCCGTTTTGGCCAGGTACATATTAATGAGATTAGACCATTAAGTTATTTTATATAGTCTCTTTTCTTGCTCTATTTCTACTTTTTATTTTGTTTTATTGCTCTATTTCTTAATCTATACATGCACCACTTGAAAAAGGACAGGTGTTTTTTTTTCTATTTCATTGCTAGTAATGTCTGCCCTTTTACTGACTTTTTTTATTTGCTTACTGTCAATGTTGATTTAAGTATTCTGCATAAAATTTTACTCTCTTCAAGGTATTTGTGCATCAGTGAAAGATTTTGGAATTGCTTGATAAAAGTATTAAGTACATGTGAACTTAAATTTAAACTTTTCCATTTTTATTTAATTTTTATGGTAGCTTTTGGGACGCAGTTACCACCGATGCATCAGCAGCAAAGGTATAGTCAAATGCTTTTCAAATGATTTGCAAGTTTTAGTTGAAATGTATATAAAAACACAACCAAGTTAGTGTACAGTGAATATGTGTCTGCCCTGTGTGTGTGTGTGTGTGTTTCATTTCCTTCAACTTAATAAGGTGATACAGAAGGATCATTTTTCTTTTTGAGTGATGTACATTTGTAGTTTGGAAGGATGGGTGTAATTAGATACATTTTAGAGAAAGTAAAATGAATTAAAATACTATTTAAAAAAAATTAAGATGGCAGTCCCTCAACTCTACTCCAGCTTCTTTGCATGCCTTCAGACTGTTCCATTCACCATATCTTCCTCACTTGATGTGTGTTACCTTAAAATTCTAACTTTAACTACTCAAGCCATATTTTGACTATAAACAAACATGTTCCTGGAACCCTGGTTTGACCATTAGACCTCCATTTTCATCGATAGAGTACCTTTTATTTGTAAGTAAATTACCTTTCTTTGAAGGAAGGATGTTAGTTTCTGGTTTTGCTTTTTTTAGCAGGTCTGTTATGACTGAAGAATACAAAGTTCCAGATGGAATGGTTGGATTTAGTAAGTAAACTGGTTTTTAAAGCTTTGAAAATAATCAAAACATACTTGGCAATCTTTCAGCTAATAATTTTCTTTTTTCTTTTCTAGTTATTGGCAGAGGAGGTGAACAAATCTCACGCATACAGCATGAATCTGGATGCAAAATACAGATTGCTCCTGGTAACGTTATTTTGATGCTATTTCCATACTAAATAGAAAGCTAGCATATTTTTAAGCTTCTATTGAAAATTGTGGTATGTGTTAACCTTTTCTTAGCCTTAAACTTTTTTGTTTTATATTGTAGACAGTGGTGGCCTTCCAGAAAGGTCTTGTATGTTAACTGGAACACCTGAGTCTGTCCAGTAAGTATGAAAATCATGTGTCTAAGGCCAGCCCCCTTCTTCCTACTGAAGGGCATTGCCTTTACAATTGAACCGACTTCCTCCTGCACTGTAAATTTCCCCTTCTTTTCTAGATAATTTCTAGTAGCATACAGACATGCTTGAAAATCTCACATTAACCAAAACCATTCCTGAACCCCACATTTATATTTCTCTGCTCCCTTTTACAACAAAACTCCTTAAATAAAGAGGTAGCTCTACTTCGGTGTACCATCTGCCTGTTTTCATGTTGTCATGACCTTACACCAGTCGAGCATTGATTCTCATTGTCCCATTAAAATTGGTCTCTTCGAGATCATGACTGGCCGCTTCCTCATTCAGCCTGTCAGCACTGTTTGACACAGTGGACCACTTGCCTAGATACCTACTTCTCTTCTCCTCTTTCTCAGTTTATCTTTGTTGTCAGCCTTATCTTCCTGGGCTCAACATGAAAGTGCCACAAAATTCAGTCCTCTTACAATATATCTACACATAATCTTTGGATAACTTAATTTACTTTATTAAACTTCTTTTAATATATAGCTTTATATACTATAGATTTTATGTTCTAAATTTTTATCTCCATCCTTCGTCTCTTTTTCTAAATTCCAGGCTCATCCATCTGCTCAGTGCCTCCACTTGAATGTCTATTAGACATCTCAAACATGAGATTATTAGGAAACGAAATTGTTTTACAGCCCATTCCCAGCTTTTATTTATTTATACTCTTTTATCTCTTACATGTATGGCAACTCTGTTTTAATATTTTACCTCTCTCCTCATTTATCATAAGCAAGTCTTGGTCATTTTTTATTCATAATTTATTTGAGATCCAGCTTCTTTTTGCCACCTTATATACTACCATCTTATCTGTGATGTGATTTGCCTATATTACGTGTGTCCATTGTTTTAGCCTTGTTCAACAATGATCTATTCTTATAACAGTATAACCATAGTGATTCTTCACGATTGTGAGTCAATTCATAATACTTTGCTCAAAATCCCATAATGCTTAACTCAATTAGAGTAAAACTCAGTGTCTACCATGGCCTGCTTACTTGCTGTTTTTCTCACTTTATTTTTTTACCACTCTCCCAACTCACTCTGTTCTAGCCTCATGTAGCCTCCTGTATTTTTTCAGCACACCAAGCATGCTTCTCATTTGAGTCCTTTGTACTTTCTATTTCTTCTCTATTTTCACATTCCCTCCGCCTCTTCCTTCAGGTCTTGGCTCAAATGTCTATCAGTAAGGTCTCCCATATCTACTTTCCATAAAATAGCATTCCTTCACACACATACACATTCTATCCTTATTTTGCTTTGATTTTCTTCATAGCCCTTCCCAAATGACATGTAATTTATTTAACATGTTATTATTTTAATACGTTTTTATTTATTATAGAGAGGAAGGAATGGGGAGAGAAAAACTTCAGTGGTGAGATAAGATCAGTGATTGATCGGCTGCCTCGTGCACAGCACCTATTGGGGATCAAGCCCACAACCCGGGCATGTGCCCTGACCAGGCATCAAACAGTGACATCCCGGTTCATAGGACGATGCTCAACCACTGAGCGATGCCAGAAGAAACTCTTGTCTGTTTTGTTCAGTGCTGTAACCCCATTAGCTAGAATGAAATCTGGTATATAACTGACATTTCTTAAGTATTTATTGAATGAATACATTTAAACACTTGAGTGACCAAAGTGATGGTTTAAAAATATAAATATTGCCTGGCCAGGTGTGACTCAGTGGTTGAACATCAACCTATGGACCAAGAGGTCACTGTTCTATTCCTGGTCAGGGCACGTGCCTGGGTTGCAGGCTTTGATACCCTATAGGGGCTGTGCACGAGGTAGCCGATCATTGATTCTCTCTTGTGATTGAAGTTTCTACCTCTCTCCCTTCCTCTTTGAATTCAACAAAAATACATATTTTTAAAAAAAAAAACCATTTTATTTAGTGCTCATAAGAATCAATTTAATATTGTGATTAACTTTGGAAATTGAGTGCTATTTAGAAATTTTGGAATCTCAAAAATATTTGAAAATTGCATACCTAGAAACTTGATTGAATAGTTCTAATCTTTGGCCCTAATGGCATTTTCTTTTAATTGAAATTATTAAAATTTAGCTTTAAGCCATCTAAACTGGAATTGGAAGAAGTAGCTGGTTGTATTTTATATTTCTCTTGGATAAGCTTTGGGGTATATTACAACTTATTTGACTGTTAATTTATTAACAGGTCAGCAAAACGGTTACTGGACCAGATAGTTGAAAAAGGAAGACCAGCCCCTGGCTTCCATCATGGTGATGGACCAGGAAATGCAGTTCAAGAAATAATGATTCCAGCTAGCAAAGCTGGATTAGTTATTGGAAAGGGGGGAGAGACTATTAAACAACTTCAGGTATTATTATTTGTAAAATGATTACTATTCATCTGTTTTGAAGCCAATTTACTTCCATTCCCTTTTATTAATACGTACGGTTTTTTTTATGATGAACAGGAACGGGCTGGAGTTAAAATGGTTATGATTCAAGATGGACCTCAGAACACTGGTGCTGACAAACCTCTTAGGATTACCGGAGATCCATACAAAGTTCAAGTAAACAAGTTTATATTTTACAAAGAAGGGGTTGGGGTGCAGAATGAGCAAAACATGTATGAATAAATTACAATGTTTTGAGACATGCTTTCTAAATTGGGTAATTTTTTTCTACTTCAGCAAGCCAAGGAAATGGTGTTAGAGTTAATTCGTGATCAAGGTGGTTTCAGAGAAGTTCGAAATGAGTATGGGTCAAGAATTGGAGGAAATGAAGGGATAGATGTAAGTAAAAATATTCAGAAATAGTTTTATGCTAATTTATAAGTAAAATAGTGTTTTTCCTGTTTTGTATTACAGCCTTCCCTAACATTGTATCCTCTTTTTTTCTCCCAGTTTCCACCTTAGAATATAGTAGTATTTTTTGTCTCTTATCACTCTACTTGATATAGAGAGTGTTATATATACTTTTATGATTTGAGGCAGCTTGATTTTCAGTAAATGGTTTTTTTAATACTTGGTCTCCTTTGCATAAGGTCCCCATTCCAAGATTTGCTGTTGGCATTGTAATAGGAAGAAATGGAGAGATGATTAAAAAAATACAAAATGATGCTGGTGTTCGAATTCAGTTTAAGCCAGGTGAGTACGTACATTTAATTTTCTGAGTGTTGGTAGCAATTACTTTTGACACTGACACATTTAATGATAAATTAATTAATTCTATTTCTTTTGTTTTGTTTTGAAGATGATGGAACAACACCTGACAGGATAGCACAAATAACAGGACCTCCAGACCGATGTCAACATGCTGCAGAAATTATTACAGACCTTCTTAGAAGTGTTCAGGTTGATAGAATACTAATATTTTCTTCGTTTTATTTTCATTCAGAAAATTTTTCTTTGGCTCCAGCCAGGTGTCTCAGTTGGTTAGCGGGTCACACTGTACACCAGAAGGGTTGCAGGTTCAATTTCTGATCAGGGCACACACCTAAGTTGCAGGTTTGAGCCCTGGTTGGGGCCCATACAGGAGGCAACTGATCGATGTTTCTCACATCAGTGGTTGTTTCTCTTCCTCTCTCAAATCAATAAAAACTTAAGCTTGGTTGAAAATTTTAATATTTCCCGTCATCAAATCTGAAAGTCCCCCCTTTATTTTATATCAGAATCTGTTTAATAATCTGTTGAAGTTGCTTTAAGGCAGACATCTTGGAGCAGGAAGGCAGCTACCTTACTCATTCCAGTATAAAATGAATAAATGGTGGTTCTTACTGGCTGATTACTTGGACCAAGTTATCTCCCAGCTTTTCTAAATTTCTAATTTAGGGAAATGAGAGTTGAGGAAAATAAACATGTAATTGATTATGGAAAGAAGTGTATTTTTAGCTGACTTCCTTTCTTGTCTTTCTCTTTAGGCTGGTAATCCTGGTGGACCTGGACCTGGTGGTCGAGGGAGAGGTAGAGGTCAGGGCAACTGGAACATGGGACCACCTGGTGGACTTCAGGAATTTAATTTCATTGTACCAACTGGGAAAACTGGATTAATAATAGGAAAAGGCAAAGTATTTTAAACTCTTACTCTTTTAATGTAGGGTTAAAATTTTAACCTATTATTTTTTCTGATGATATATCTGTTGTTCTAAACAAGTAGTGGTGATTTTTCCTGAGCTGTATTTTAGTAGAAAAGTGTTATGTTGATGTGTAATAACTAAAACATAAATGAGAAGGGCCTTATATATACTTAAATAAAAAGAATAGGCTTTGATTCACATGGGCTTCTAGAAGAGACCAACAGCTTAATTATTAGTGTAAGAAACTACTTTTGACCCCAAAAGTAGTCTGGGTGTTTTTGTTTACTTTGCTATTTCCTGATACACATGTGTTTAAATTTTCGAATTTTTTTAATGTTACTTTATATTGCTTGTAAAAGCAGTTTAATTGAACCAAATATTTTGATTTTGAGAAGTTATCCATTTTAAGGTTAGATACAGATATGCTAAATTATGGCTTAAAACTCAAATGTATTTTAAGAGAAGCATGAAATGCTTTATACAGTTGGATTTAAAGTATAGGAATAAATGGAAAATCTTAATAGAATTTTGGCAGATTGACTACTAGTCAAAGCTTAATGACTCATTTAATTGTGACTTTAAGTTTATTGAAGTAATATTGATTAATGACATATAAATTTCAGGTGTACATCTATATCTGAATACCCTATTTTATACTTTACACCCAAAGTCTAGTTTCTTTCCATTGCCATTTATTTGACCCCTTTTGCCTAATTTGCCCTTCCCCCTTTCCCACTGTTAATCATCATTCTGTTTATATCTATGAGTTTGTATTTGTTAGTTCGTTTGTTACTTCCATTTTATTTTAAATACCTTTTCTTGTATCCTTTGAATTCTTAGAGAAATTATTGTGTTTTGATTTTAGGAGGTGAAACCATAAAAAGCATAAGCCAACAGTCTGGTGCAAGAATAGAACTTCAGAGAAATCCTCCACCTAATGCAGATCCTAATATGAAGTTATTTACAATTCGTGGCACTCCACAGCAAATAGACTATGCTCGGCAACTCATAGAAGAAAAGATTGGTGTGAGTATGCTTTAAACTTCAATTTATAGCATAGGTTCTAGTCTAAAATTATAGGACTCGTCACATAATAGATAACATAAACAGAAAAGTTTTTCCAGGAATGAAAATAACCTAATTAAATACAGAAAGGTATTCAGAACCTTATATTTGGGTGTGGGTAGGTAAGAGGATAGCATTTCTTGGAGATATGTTCAGGCTGGTGGAGAATTGTGAAACATATTTAAAGGATATAATTAACAGGAATTCAATTTTTATTAAGGGCTTTTACTATATATAACCCTGGTGACACAAAGATGAATCAGATTCATCCCACTTTGAAGTAGAAATATATAAATCCTAATTCTTAGGCAGTAATCTGGGGAGTTTTAAATGCAGACTACTTGGGTGCTTTCCTCCTCTACACATAACGCAATTCTCATTCAAAATGTCTGGAATAGAGCCCAACATCTACTTTTAGAAAGATGGTCCAGGTGATTCTGATGCATGGCCAAACTTGAAAGTGTTTTCTGCTAGAAAAGTTAGCTGGTGGTAGTACAAAAATGTATGAAAAGTTTGCTTTTACTATAATTAATATAGGGTGTGAGCAAGCATCTTAAACTATTAATAATAATTAGAATTTCTTGGAAAAATTTCTCCTTGGTGATTGCCATGCATTGATGGGGTGCAAAAGAAGTTTGACACTGTTTCTGTCTGGGAAGTCAAAAAATAAATGTACAAGAAATACTTAAAGAATATGTTATAAAAATATACACAAACAGCCCTGGCTGGTTTGGCTCAGTGGATAGAGCGTCGGCCTGCGGACTCAAAGGTCCCAGGTTCGTTTCCAGTCAAGGGCATGTACCTTGGTTGCAGGCACATTCCCAGGAGGGGGTTGTGCAGGAGGCAGCTGATCAATGTTTCTCTCTCATCGATGTTTCTAACTCTCTATCCCTCTCCCTTCCGCTCTGTAAAAAATCAATAAAATATATTTTAAAATATATATGTGCACAAACATTGTATGGGCAATTAGTGTAATTGCACAGAGACATGAAAATAATTGTGGAATCAGTATGGCAAAGATTAATGCAGAAAAATGAATAGCACATCTTGGTTTTGAATTTTACTATTCTTTTACTATGCATGGATCAGGATTCCTTCTGGATTGGTGGACAAACAGAATAGAATGTCCTAGAGAAGCTAAACAACCTGAGTTCAAAATACTCTGGCTCTTGCTGGTGTTGTTCAGCAATTAGAGCATTGGTCTACACACTGAAGGATCTTAGGGTAACATCAATTGTGTCTCTTCCACTCTCTCTAAAAATTAGTGGGAAAATACATTCTCAGTTGAGAATTTAACAAAATAAACACTCTGAATTATTTACTGAATGTGATCTTGGGGAACCTAATAGTCATTTTTTTTTAAAATATATTTTATTGAGTTTTTACAGAGAGGAAAGAAGAGAGATAGAGAGTTAGAAACATCGATGAGAGAGAAACATCGACCAGCTGCCTCCTGCACACTCCCCACTGGGGATGTGCCCTCAACCAAGGTACATGCCCTTGACCGGAATCGAACCTGGGACCTTTCAGTCCGCAAGCCGACGCTCTATCCACTGAGCCAAACCGGTTTCGGCCTAATAGTCATTTTTGCCTTAGTCTGTTACCTACTTTATAGGGTTTAGGGATTAAATGATTTAGGTATGAGTGTGTGGTGCATGTGTATTACTTAAAAGAGTGCCTGGCACATCGCTCTGAAAATATTCCTACTTAACCCTGGCCAGTGTAGCTCAGTTGGTTGGGTGTCATCCCATGCACCAAAAGGTCACTGGTTTCATTCCCAGTCAGGGCACATGCCCGGGTTGTGGGCTCCATCCTCAGTAGTGGGCTGCAGCAAGCTGCCATCGATGTTTCTCTCCCTCTGAATAAAAACACATTTCTTTAAATGTTGATACTTTTTCGGTAATTTTTTTTTCTTTACTATTTCAAAAATGTGGGTTACAGATAATAGAATATTAGAAGTGGGGGGGGGGGGGATGACAACAATTAGAGACATAAAGAGACATCCTAATAAAAGGAACTTTAAAAATCATGAAGGTTAGCCCTGGCCAGTGTGGCTCAGTTGGTTGGGCGTCGGCTTGTGCATTGAAAGGTTGGTTCGATTCCCAGTCAAGGTCCATGCCTAGGTTGTGGGCTTGATCCCCAGTAAGGAGCAACAGGAGGCAGCTGATCAGTGTTCCACTCTCACATCGATATTTCTTCCCTCTCCCTTCCTCTCTCTAAAACTCATTTTAAAATATATATTTTTTAAAATCACAAAGGTTAGCTTCATTATTTTGTAGTGAGAAAAATGACAACCAAATGTAGTTTAAAAACAATTTTGTCCAAAATGTCTCATGGTAAGTATTAACTGAAATGAAAGGGTGTTTTAGAGCAGTTAAATCTAGTGGTCTTTACAAGATGGATTAATAAAAAAAGACATCAACTAAGTATTATTTTTGTTTTTTTTAATGTTTTTATTGAGTTTAGAGACAGGAAGGGAGAGGGAGAGACACATTGATTGGCTGCCTCCTGCACTCCCTCTACTAGGGATTGAGTGCCCTGACCCAGGAATTGACCTTTGAGTTGTTCGGCCATTGGTGTTTTTCTGATTTTTGTAAGTCATTTTGCTTTTTTGCAGGGCCCAGTAAATCCTTTAGGGCCACCTGTACCCCATGGGCCCCATGGTGTCCCAGGGCCCCATGGGCCTCCTGGGCCTCCTGGGCCTGGAGCTCCAATGGGACCATACAACCCTGCACCTTATAATCCAGGACCACCTGGCCCTGCTCCTCAGTAAGTACTGGGTTTTGTTTGTGATTTTCCCCAAAGATTCTAGCTTTTGTTAAGTCATATTCTTACATTGTTTTATATCTTTTCAGTGGTCCTCCAGCCCCTTATGCTCCCCAGGGGTGGGGAAATGCATATCCACACTGGCAGCAACAGGCCCCTCCTGATCCAGGTAAAAGATGCTTATCATTCTTGTGTAATTCGTATTGTTTTTCTCTCCTATTCTTATATTTTCTAGTGTTATTTCTACATTGTGTGCCATTTTCTGCGCGTATTTCACTCTTTCAACAGGAGTGTTAGGTTCTGGTTCTACCACAGTGTGTAAGATTGGTGTGAATATGGTCTATCATGGAACCTTTTTCGACCTGCATTCGGTTTTCTCTACTTTTGAAATTACACAGCTAAAATCCAAAAGCCATAGGAAGAAGTGCAATGTCTTGGGCTTTAGGTACTAGTGCCATTACATGTATATAGTATGTTATGAGTCTAAATGGAGTGTTTAATACTTGGGCATTAAACTCCTAAGTTCTCAAGTAAGATATGTAAGTTGTCTGTTTTAGTATTCTAGATACTGTAACTTTACCTGTTAGCAAAAATCAGGCCTGTATTTAATATCTACGTGTTAAAACTCTAAAGTACACTTTTTTCCAGTATTTTCTCTGCTCAGATCTGGATTTTATATATATTACATTCTGTTCAATTCTGTTATTTTTATCCCCACCATGGTCAAAGGGCATTTATCGAAACCAACTAACAATTGTTTATGATTCTTTTTTCTCACCCACTACCTACCTTTAGGCCTCTTTCACTGGAGTAGTTTCAAGGAAGGTACTGAATTAATGGATTCCTTTCCACACTAGTTAATATTTGTATTTTTAAAAACCTAAAAGATTAGGTGAAACACTCGTATTTAAATGTGGCCCCCATGTTCTTAACATATTTTAATTTCAAAGGAAGTGTATTCTTTGGAAATGATGACAGAGCATGGCAGTCACCCAATAGCCACAACATCCACTAAACAACTTGAGTGTGCTAGTATCTGGGTGTGCAAAAAGTAGTTTATATTCTGTAGCAGAAAAGTGCATTTCAAGAGATAGCCATAATGTGATAGAAGGACTTAGAGAAGAGTCAAATGTGATTTGCTATATAGTCTAAAGTTAGTCTTTTAAGAATGAAAGGATTTTCTTCCCTCTTGTAAACTAATTGGGATGGTGAGATAAGCAGAGGAATCTCCATTTAAGAGGTTCAACATGTTGGTTAAGTTAAGGGGCAGATTTATATTGGGTATCTTGGATATGCAGAGTAGCACCTATGAGCACTGTTTGGGTAGGTAGCATGATTGAGAAAATGATGGGAATACAGAAGTGGTCTCTATCACAATCTCATTTTCCCACTTGGAGTAGTAGTGAAGTAACAATTGTTTAATGAATGTGGTTTCTAGCATTGCTTTGGGGGAAAAAAGAATCCAGTTAGCCAGAAGAGATGAGCCAAAGTTAGATATTGCTTAAATTAGACTTAACATTATATAAAAACCAAATAAATGATTTAAATGAAATTGTGTTGACAATAAAGTCAGTATTCTCTGAACTAAAATCTGTTTCAATAAAAAACTAATGGGCTGTTAAGCATTTATATAGAGTCAAAAGATTAGACCTCAAAATGAAACAGGCCCTAGATAAATTCTAATCTTACAACTTAGTAATTGTGGTATAACAAGCACATTTTTTAACCCCTCTAAATCTATATTTATGCATAAAATAATGTAGAATGAATGAATGAAAGAATATTATGTTGAATGAATGATAGTAAGTTCTCATGAATGTAAACAGGCTGGTTTTCTATTTTTGACTTGAATGGCATCTTTTTATTTTCTTTATTATTGCTTTAATGCACTTTAAGACTGTTTTTCTTACATGAAGTTCATTCAGGAGTACCATTATCACTTCCTAAAGTCTTTTATCTCGCTTTCTCTATCCAGACATGGTATAAAGTGAAAATATTTTGTATTTATTAGTATACAGGTTAATGACACTATTGAGACATAAATATCCAACATAGAAAAGCAATTTCTTACTTGAGAAGGATTAGGAGGGTGGTGTAATGGCTTGGGATTATATCACCTTAAAATTATATCCCTCTAAAAATTCCTTTTTCTCAACCTTCATTCACTTTTATTAAGCAGCTGAAAATTGCTGCCCATTTGGGATGAAGGCTATAAACAGATTACATTATAGATGCTAATTCTAGCTAAGACAATGACATTCTTCTTGAGGCTGTAAACTAATAAACATATACCTATAATACCATATGATAGTATAAAGGACAGAATCAATAGAGAATTTCTGTTTCTAAGAAGTCTCAAATTGTTCATGTATCAGTTGATTTTTATGAAGAATGAGTGAAGGTGAGCCAAGTGCAGAGGAAGTATAATATGCTCAAAGGCCCAGATATAAGATGGTAACTTCTGGAAGTATAAGCCGTTTATTGTAGTCAGAATATGAGTGTTAGAAAAATATTGACATAGGGAAGATGAGGCTGGAATGGAAAGGATAAGTCAGGGGGTCCAGATCATTAAAGATTTTGGATGATATGCTGTACCTAAGATCTTAGACCAGTGGTTCTCAACCTTCCTAATGACTTGACCCTTTAATACAGTTTCTCATGTTGTGATGACCCCCAATAAAATTATTTTCGTTGCTACTTCATAACTAATTTTGCTACTGTTATGAATCGTAATGTAAATATCTGATATGCAGGATGTATTTTCATTGTTACAAAATGAACATAATTAAAGCATAGTGATTAATCACAAAAACAATATGTAATTATATATGTGTTTTCTGATGGTCTTAGGTGATCCCTGTGAAAGGGTCATTCGACCCCCAAAGGGGTCGCGACCAACAGGTTGGCGACCCACATGTTGAGAACTGCTGTCTTAGACAGTCCTGAAGACTCTAGGGAATAAATGAAGAATTTCAAGTAGGACTATGACATCAAGTTTATGTTTTAGGATAATCACTGTGAAATATGATGTGATGAAATATGGCTAATCTCTGTTTCTTTTTCTAAGATTAAGTTGTGTTTTGAAAACGAGACAGGAGAAAGTTCATAGTTCTGTAATAATTGTTTCTTTCTTGTACAGCTTAATCCCTAGAAATCCTTTCGTTTAGTTATCTGCCATATAGAAAGAACTGTTGGGCTTGGCAAAACTGATTTAGAAAGAAAATACAGGGTGGTTTGAGACAAAGCATTGGATTTAAAGAAAAGATATTTTATTCCTATCCAAATCCTGTCACCAACTCGTTTTCTAAGACCTAGGAAAGCCAGTTAATCTCTGAACCTCTTTTTTTCTATAAAAGCTAGGGGTAACAGCGAAATTAATAGAAGAATTTGAAAGTTTCTACTTATTTTTAAGTCTAGTTAATTTTGGGGTCTAGGAGCTCTATATATTTGCCAGGGGATGTGTGTACATATGAGAGAGAATAATGGACTTCAGGTGCAAACGTTGAACTTGTGTTTATTCTAGCTAAAGCAGGAACCGATCCAAATTCCGCAGCTTGGGCTGCGTATTATGCACACTATTACCAACAGCAAGCACAGCCACCACCTGCAGCTCCCACTGGTGCACCAACTACAGCCCAAACCAATGGACAAGGTAACTATGGTAATAAAACATTTTTTCTTATATATACGTGTGTGTGTGTGTGTGTGTGTGTGTGTGGAGAGAGAGAACCTCTGTTTGGAATTATATATAAAGTGCATGTGATACCCAAAAATTTCTAATTCTTACAGCTTTGGTAAGCAGACTTTTTAAAAATAGGTTACTTTTTTAGTCACAAACTTGTATAAAAGTTGTCAGATATATTAGAGAACAGGAACACCCAATAACCTAGTTATTAGTGTTTCATCCCTTATTAACACTCCCCCACCCCTTCTTTTTTTGATACCTTCTCTATCAAGTGTCCATGTCCATTATCATTAGTCTTTGTCAGAACCATTTATGGCCAAGCTGTAGAAATGATGCCTCATTTAAAATACTCCTTTCTGTATTAATCCAAAAATCCATGTCCATCATGCAGCCCTCCATATTAGTTGATCAACATTGATACATTATTACTGTCCCAGTACACAGTCCTTAATTCAGATTTCACCATTTGTCCCAACAATTGTTTTGTGATCCAGGATCCCATCTGGTAACATGTTTTTATGAGTTGTCAGGTCTATTCTGTCTCATCAATCAGGAAAAAACAGTTGGGTGTTGTTTTTTAGTATTATAAAGAGTACAGACCTTTTGCTTTGTGGGATGATGCTCAGTCTTTTGTTATGAAGCTGACGTCATGCTCATGAGGTCCTGTTTGTGGTATGGCAAGAATACCTCAGAAATTATGATGTGCTCTTGTGTGTGACATCAAGAGGTCATATGTTGACCTGTTTCTTCCCTGGAAATGGCAACCTTTGGTTATCTGCCATATAGAACTGTTGTGCTTGAGGCAAAACATGGTGACTTGGTTATATTGGTGTCTGCCAGGTTTCTATACCATAGAATTACAATTTTTCTCTTTGAAAATTACTATTTTCTGGAGAGTTATAGTGAGACTAGACTACTAATCTGTATCTCATTGGCCTTCGCCCTCATTGATTAACACCTGCCTCATTCATTTAGCTACAATTACGATGGTAATTTCTATTCCCATTATTCATTTTACATTAATAGTTGGTAGTTTATTGTCAAAAAGAGCTCCCTCCCCGCACCTCCTTCCTGCTTACTTTTTTATATCAGTATGGGTTCCTGTTTTATTCAGTAGGTTGTATTTTAGACTGTCAACTATTTTGATTATGGAATTATCCTAGGTTTGACTAGTCAGGAGTACTTTCAAGATCGCTCCTGTATCCTTTTGACATGCCTGTCATTCTCTAAGCATTTTCTTTCTTTCTTACAGAATAAGATGCTCATTTTGTGCTCTCTGGGCTCCAGCCCTAGAATCAGCCATTTTTCCAAAGAGCCCTGATTTCCTTTTAGTAGATGATGGTATTTAGAAACCAAACTCAGTGTGTTCATTGCTACTGAGGTGTCATTGCTTCTAGCTCCTTTCAATGTACAGAACTGTGTAATTTAGATAAATGCATACATACCTACATAAGCATGTATATGTGTTTAAATGTATGTAAAATATGTATTTTTTAGACTACATTCATATCACCTACAATTACTTACATTCTTGTACTTCAAGGTTCTTTTTAGCCTTTTCATGTTTATAAATGGTGAGGGACCTGGTATCCTCGGTGTGTTTTCTTATGTGACAAGTGAATTTACTTGCATGCTCAGTGTAGCTACTCTTCCAAATACATAGCCAGGGGTCCTCAAACTATGGCCCGCGGGCCACATGCATCCCGCCGAAAACATTTATCCGGCCCGCCGGGTGTTTTTACCACCGCTGCCTGTTGCTTAGCAGCCGACTAGTTTTTTTTAAAACTGTAGTCCGGCACTCCAACTGTCTGAGAGACAGTGAACTGGCCCCCTGTTTAAAAAGTTTGAGGACCCCTGACATAGACTATCTTCTCTGTCCACCAACTTTGCACCCTAGTGTACACCAGCAGGGTATACCACTGTCACACAGCACCCCTCCTTCCCCCACCTCTTCCACTCAAGAAAGTGAAGGAAAAGACCAAATTGTCTCTTGAAAACTTTGATCTTTTTTTTTCTTTTTTCTTGAACAAGGTGATCAACAGAATCCAGCTCCAGCTGGACAGGTTGATTATACCAAGGCTTGGGAAGAGTACTACAAGAAAATGGGTATGTTCTACATTTCCTTTTTTATACATTTAATTAAATTAAAACATTTAGTAAATATTACTCTAGAAGGTTGAAGATTTCAATAAAAGCATGTTTGTTCATGTTTTTGTTTCTTTGGGCTTTCACTGATTAACTTTTAAAATCTTAAAAGAATAATTGAGCAAGAATGCATTCCAAAATCACTAAACGTTCAGATGTTTCGAGCTCATTGCAAATAATAATTCTTAAATTTTTGATTACATAATAAGGAAACATTTTTTTTTGTAAACCCATTTGTCAATCATTTACCAATTGAAACTAAAAAGTTTTCTCCTGGCACATATGACATTGTATATTACCTAAATTTTTGTTATATATGTTAGTAGCCAAAATGGCATTGGTTAAATTCTAGAGTGCCAAAGAAAAATATGTATGTGTGGTATTATAATAGTGCCCCCCCCCCCTTTTCTTCAGGGGATACGATAAACTCCAAGACCCCCCATGGATGCCTAAAACCAGAGATAGTAAATGTATAAATTAGGCACAGTAAGAGATTAACAGTCATTATGAAATAAGCAATTATAGTAATACTAGAGGCCCAATGCATGAAATTCGTGCAAGGGGCTCAGCCCTCACAGCCTGGTGGCCTTGTGGCCCCGTGGCCCTGCCCACTGGTCTTTCTGGAATATTGTTCTGCCATCTGGTCTAATTAGTGTATTAGCTCTTTATTACATAGAATAAGTAAGGGTTTCTTGAACACAAGCACTTAAATACTGGAACAGTTGATCTCATAACAGCTACCAAGAGACTAACGTATGAGTAGCATATACAGTGTGGATATGTTGGACATAGGGAGATGACTCATCTCTTGAGAGGGAGGGAGTACAATGGATCCAGATTTCATCACACTTCTCAGGAACTGCAATTTAAAATGTGAGTTGCTTATTTCTGGGATTTTCTATACAATATTTCTGACCACAGTTGACTAGACAAGGGGAGACTATTGTATTTTTGGTGCAAAATAATTAGATAAGAAGTAACCTACAGTGATAGAGAAAGTTACTTAAATGGCGTTTTCATGTATGAAAAAGAAAAAAAAATCACCTTAAAAAGCCATTTTCATTCAATAACTGTAGAGGACTGTGTGCCAAATATAGTGATAGGTGCCTACAGTGTGATTGTGGGAATAACAGCTAGGAACCCTGCCCTTCTGGTTATCATACTCTAATGGAGGTACAGTTGTTAATCAAGTATTCAGCAAATACATTCATACATACTGTTGTGACTAAAAAGAACTATCTTCACTAGCACTTTACATGTGCAGATTGAGAAACAGGTCACAACTACAACTAAGTAGTAGAACCAGAATTTGATCTCTAAGAGGGCCTAAGTCCCAAGTCTATTTCCAAAATTGGCCTTTTTCAGGGACCGTTTGTACAAGTTTTTTGTTTGTTTGTTTTTCCAGGTGCTTATGCTCTTGGTCATTTACAAACAACAGCTTACAACATAGCCAGTTGTCATAAATGAAAGTTAAACTTGCCCATCTTTCACTAGTATAGAAAGAAATAGGTGATAGAATTTTTTCATAAGATATAGTCTACTTGTGATTCTCAGTGTAAATTTTGATGTTTTCTTTGTCATTTTCCACAGGAAAAAATTATAGTAATCTTTTCTTGTATAAAAGTACATATACCTGGTGATAAGGATTTTTTTTTTTACACAACTGATTTGTTTAAAGAAGGAGAATTCATTTTCCTGCCCAGCCAGTGTTGTTCAGTGGTTGGGCATCGAACTAAGAACCAGGAGTTCATGGTTCAACTCCCAGTCAGGGCATTTGCCCAGGTTGCAGGCTCAATCCCAGTGTGGGGTGTGCAGGAGGCAGCCGGTCAATGACTCTCTCTAATTGAAGTTTCTATCTCTCTCTCTTCCTTTCCCTTCCTCTCTGAAATAATAAAAAAAAAATTTTTTTTAAGGCAGTTTTATAAAGAAAAATTCAGAGCTCACTTTAAAAAAATGTGCTCTGGCTAGGCAGTCATAATAAAGATATTTTTTTAAAAAAAAGAAAAGAAAAATAATTTTCCCTGTTAGAATGACTTCAAAGAAAGTCATGCAGCATGTTATTCTTGAGGCTATAAAAGATTCATTAATTTACATTTTTTGACCCAGTTTATTTCAAGTAGTTCTGTAACAGCTGAAACCCTGTAAAAAGATAGTTTTGAAAAAAACTTTTAACCTCAAAACAGTTTACTGTAGTTACAGTGATTGCATAGTTTATTGTCCAAACTGGGATGCTATTTAGAATAACTGGAAATCATTTTGTGACAACATAGTGGTCAGGACCTCTGGTCACCTTAATTTTTATGAAAAAGCTTCACCATTTTAAAGATTTAAGCATGTAAAGGTTAAAAATCATTAGGTCCAATTTGTGTTTTCACAATGGGTAATATGCCAGAGATGTTTCATATATATATATATAATTTTTTTTTTTTGTAATCTTCACCAGAGGATATGTTTTAATTGGTTTTTAGAGAGGGAGGAAGGGAGAGAGAAAGAGAGAAGTCAATGTGGGAGAAACATTGATCAGTTGCTTCCCATACATGCCCTGTCTGGGGATTGAACAGCAACCTAGGTATGTACCCTGATTGGGAATCGAACCCACAACCTTTTGGTGTATGGGATGATGCTCCAACCAACTGAGCTATCCAGCCAGGGCTGTTCCCTATATTATTAAAAGTGGGTAAAAACAAAGGCCTATTAGTAGACTTAAGTAATTACTGGGGAATGAGTATGATTTGTTTTATTATATTTTATTCTTTCTTTGCAACATGATCATTAGTAAATTTGCTATTTAGCCATTTTACATTTTGCTTGCCCAAAATGAATGGGTATGTTGAATATGATCTGCGAGGTCTTAATACCATTCAAATTTTAATGAAGGGTAGATACTTCACTTTGCCTTTTAATTTTTCATTTTCTACCTTTTCCCTACTTACTACTCTATTAAATTCTAATCTTAGAAAAAGTATGTTAGACTGTCTTGAATCCTTTGTGGAGAAAGATTATAAATAAAAATAATTAAATAACACCACGTTTGACTGAAGATTTTCCTTAACCCCTTCCTTCACCTCTTCAGTTGTGTGTTTTTCTGTAGCATAATGGTCAGCTGTTAATTTTATGACCAAGGTGGGCTGGTGGTTGAGTGATTTCCTGTTATCTTAAAGGAAATAATGTTAAGTGTGGTTTTTAATGATACAAAGTCAGTTTTTTTTCCCCTATCATAGTTCTTTTTGTAAATGATTGGTTGCTTAACTGGTCTAATTACAGGGTACATTACTTGTCCTTAAGATCTATTTAAAATAAGCACAAATAAGAGACCTTAAAGCATTAGAATAATACAGTTCAATCTTTGAGATTTTTAAATGAAAGAAAAGAAAGGTGTAATAAAGTATCAGGTAGTCAAAGATCTTTACCTCCAAATCTAACTCCCTTATTTGGAGAGACAAAGTTTTGCTCTTCCAGTGGCAGAACAAGGGTTTCCTGGAAACTTGGTTGTTCTGATTCCCAATCAGTGCCCTCTTCACCAAATAAAGCAGGCTCTTGTTGCTTTTGAAGCCTAATTTCAGCTTTTCCTGTCAAGAACAGGAAATCTCCATTTACACTATAAATTTGTCATTATTTGCTTCTTGGTACATAAACCTCTTTTGAAACATGCAGGTTAAGTTTTTAAATTTGTTTTGTGAAAAAATTCTGTTTCCTGGGATTAACAGAATTTAGGAGAGGAATTCTTTTTTAAAGACAAGATTCTAGAGGGTTATCGAAGGCAATTTTAAGTCATACAAGCAAAGACAGCAATCTGGGGGGTTGGGTATTTTTGAAGCTCGAATGAAGGAAACTTTAAGTAAATACCCTGTGAATAAACAGGTTTTCAGAGTAGAGACAGGCAATTCCTATTTTGAAGACGGTAAGTGAAGGCATTTTGGAAGAAAAGTTGGACTTTGAAGGCTCTTATAATGTTAAGCACTGATATGGTGGACTTGTAAGCGTTAGCCTAAAATGGGGAGAGAGTGGTTGTGGGAAGGATGCTAATATATAGAGATAACCAAGTGTGAAAAAAGTCTATTCAAGCGAGGCTGTCTCTTGGGCTATAATAAAGTGTTACATGTGAACTATAGAGCAAATCTTACTTCTTGAATGAGATGAAATTAAAGTCAAACTCTATACATTGTGAAGCTGTATGTGAATATTAAGTGGTGGTCTATTAAAGTATAAACTGAACTATCTGGCATCAACACTGTTTTTGAACTGAGGGAAAGAATAAAGGGAGCAAGTTGAGATCATATCCTATAAAGGGCAGAGAAGCGCAAGAGGCTAGTGGGCAGCCAAATCATAAGTAGATCAGATAGGAAGAGTCTTTTTTTTTCTTTCCCTATTTTCGGCTGGGCAAAATGAATCACATCTAGCAAACATAAAAACAGCTTTCTGTATATATGTGTTCCAGTATTTTTAGTTTAGCTGTAATTTTATAAAGCCAATTGAATTGCATATTAAATAAATGCTATTCCAATAAAGGAACTAAATAGGAAAACACATGTTTTCTTACTCCCCAACCTTTTATTTTTAAAATATGTTTATACCGTTAGAAAAATTGGAAAAATAGTACAGCAAATACCCATATTTATATTTTTCTACCCAGAATCACCTTTTTTTTTTAAGTTTGACATATGTACTTTATGTCTATACATGTTTTATGTGCCTGACACATTTTCAGAGTAAGTTGCAGGCTGGTACTCTAAATAAATTATTTCAATAGCAGCAGCCCTGCGGGAGTTTCTCAATGGTTAAGCGTTGACCCATGAACCAGGTATCACTGGTTCGGTTCCCTGAAATTGATATAAAAAAGTTTTTTTAAAGAACAGTTTATTTCAGTAGTAGCAACACAAAGACCGTATTTAAGTGTGGAGGGTTTTTGTCTTAATCCAAAAGACATGCATTATATTTGGTTGTTGTGTCTCTTTAATCTCTTAAATTCAAAAAAGTTGCCTTGCCTAGTAAAATAACTGCTCATGAAGGCTCTTTTTTTTTTTTTTTAATATATTTTATTGATTTTTTACAGAGAAGAAAGGAGAGAGACAGAGATAGAGAGTTAGAAACATCGATGAGAGAGAAACATCGATCAGCTGCCTCCTGCACATCCCCCACTGGGGAAGTGCGCGCAACCCAGGTACATGCCCTTGACCTGGACGGAACCCGGGACCCTTCAGTCCCCAGGCCGACGCTCTATCCACTGAGCCAAACCGGTTCCGGCTCATGAAGGCTCTTGAGTTTTATGTTTCATTGATCTTGTTGCTTAGAACCTCCTTGGTAATTGTTCTTTATGTCCATCAGGTTATTTATAATAAAATTGTGTTGTAATTTGAACACATGTATTAAAACTTTAAACATGTCATTAAAAAGGTATAGATTAGTCTTTATATACATGTACACGTATATATTTATACATATATGTAGTTTATGGGTTACTAATCAGGAAACAAATCTTTGGGCAGGTCTTAAAATACTAGTCTTTGCATTTTATTTAAAATATGTACTGTAACAGATACACATGAATGAGAGATCAAAAAATAGTGTCCCCGCCCACCAGTCACTGCCAGGGAACCATAGACTATTTACATGAAGCATTTAAAAAAAAAAATTAAAGTATAGTTGGCTATAAAGCACTTTTAAAAACAAAATTTGGAACATTAATAGTTTATAAATTCTTTAATTGAATCAACATCATGCTTATATCTTTACCTTAATTAAATTATATGGATGGGTTTGTTTTTATCTTTTATTAATAGTGATGACATAATGCAAAAAGCAAATAAAGAGCATTCTAATTTTTTTATTATTACAGAGTAGTTTTCTGACACTGGTAAACACTTAAACGAGCAATTCAGATCCTCTGCTTTTGTCTTTATAAGCTATACTTACAGTGGATATAGTTTTGTATTAAAAATGGGGATTAGATCAAGAATGGCAGACACAGGTTTATTCGAAGGCTTGGGAGGAATATTATAAGAAGCATGGTATTGTCTTCATTAGAAATGGGATTCTTTTGGACTTTCAATTGTGGTTACAGTAACAAAGTTCTGTTTTCTCAAAGGTCAAGCTGTTCCTGCTCCTACTGGTGCTCCACCGGGTGGTCAGCCAGATTACAGTGCAGCCTGGGCTGAATACTATAGACAACAAGCAGCCTACTATGCCCAGACAAGTCCCCAGGGAATGCCACAGCATCCTCCAGCACCTCAGGTATAATAAACTTGTTGATGTGTTAAAAACTCCAGTCATGTTTTCTGCATGTTTACTATTTTGTTTGTTTGGGATTGATTATGTTTGCCTTTTTAATTTTTATATGGCAAAATATAACTGAAGGACTATGATGTACTGTTGGGTTGCTTTTGGCTTTGTTTTTTATAATGCTTTATGGCATCTGAGTGCTGAACATTTCTATAATGCCTTTAATTTTAAAAATAAATTTTTTTCCCCCAGGGATTTGCAAATCATGCAAGAAGCCATCACCATTTATATTAACCAGTTTTTCTTTCTTAAAGGATTCACTCCTGAGTTAGCTCCATTTAAAGGATTTTCTTTAACTTTTTGTGTATTTCTTATGTATCTCTTCTGCACAGGGCCAATAATAAGAAGTGGACAATACAGTATTTGCTTCATTGTGTGGGGGAAAAATACCTTTGTTAAATATATGGATGCAGACGACTTGATGAAGATCTTAATTTTGTTTTTGGTTTAAATAGTAGTTTTTTTTTCTTTTGAAAATGTACAAAATATCTATCACTACTGATAGGAGGTTAATATTTCTGTGTAGAAATGAAAATTGGTTTGTTTTTAGTATTTAGTGTAGATGTACACATTCCAGCAAATGTATTTGCAACTATTATGTGGTCAATGCTTTGTGATATAAATGTACTTTTTCAATGTATACTTTCACTTTTAAAATGCCTGTTTTGTGCTTTACAATAAATGATATGAAACCTCCTGTGTCGGTAAGTTGGATATGTGGGTATTTAAAGAATTCATAATTTCTTAGCAATGATAAATTAAGATACATATACACAAATATATAAGCTTTCCCCATGAAATATTAATTGAATTTTTAAACACTGGCATGTTTTTTTTTTCCCCCTTGCAGTATAGTAATAGATTGGAGGATCTTTTCCATTTATTGTATTTGGCTGTTTCAGCACAAGTAATCCTGATATCTTCTTTTTTTTTTTTTTTTTCCTTCTGTTTGATTAAAAACTGCATGTGTGTACAATGATCTTTTGGCATACTTCCATTGAATTAACAGTGAAATTTCCTTTTATACATGACCACTGTTTCAGACCTGTACTGCTGCTATAACAGTTAACCTTTCTGTTCTTAATTTGATAATTACTTGATTTCCAAGACTGTTTCAGCATAACTAACTTTAAACAGTTTTCAGATAGTGAATATGAGTAGTCTAATAAGAACAGTTTTTTTCATGTGAAGCAACTCTTTCAATGTATACGATATTAGTGTGTTTCTTTCTAAATTAAGGGTAGAAAAGTGAGTAGTTTGCAAAAATTATAATAGTTACAGTGCATCTGCCATTGAAACATTACTGGGATATGGAAATGTTCAAGCTCTTTTCTTTTTTTTTTTCTTTCTGCAGTATAGATAAGCTTTGTTTTGTAAATGCACAAGTCCAGTCATTGAATCAACTTAATTTTTTTATGTACTTGAAATCATTTTATTACTCTATGACACTCATGCTGAAGTTTCGATATTTTGTTGAAATCCATTGTTTTACTCTGCATATTTGTTGGCTCTTTGCATATTAATATATTAGACTACATGCAAATACAGTCTGTCTTGCCATTGTCTGTTGAAGTGCAGGTTTGATCCAGCCAGTATAGAACTAGCTCTGTAGGGGTGAGGAGGACTGTGCTGTGTATCATCCTTGATTGTGTTCCTTCAAGGAGCATTGCACTGTAAGTACATCAGAATGACAAATTGATGAACTGCAACAGTATCTTTTTGTCAATGTTCCACATAATGTAAATGCCATATTTTGTGTGAATATTATGTTGGAATACAGTGCTGATATCTTGGAAAACCATAAATGCTTCTTAATTTAACATAGAATAATACATAGGTCTTTTTTTTTTAAGTGAGCTCAATGGGTAAGTATTTTTTATATGCTTTAGCTATAGCTAAAGAAAACTGATCATTAACAAAATTGAATAGTATTACTCATTGGTGCTCCTAAAATATATTGTTTTTCAGTATAATATATGCATATTTTGTATATTAATAATGAAAGACTTGAAATGTATCAGACAGAAGTGGTTTTCAGTTTGCAAATATATTAAGCAATGTAGCAGTTTTAACACCATTTCATAAATATGTTCTTTCATTGGTAGGGAGCACCATTTGTTGTTTTGAATACTGTAAAGGAAGATGTACAAGAACATAAATGTTGAGATTACCTAGGGTAGAAAATTAGCAGTACAGTTCATTGTGGATATTTTGAAATGTTTTTTATTGTTTTATAGAAGTCAGAATGACTTCCATTACCCTTATGTAGATATGGATTTGTAGCTCTAGTTTGAAGTTTAATCCTTAGGGAGTTAGTTATCTGTTATCTTTAAGAGTAGGGTATTGACATGAACAATTTCAGTATTTTGCATGATACTGTTTTATAGATGACCTTTAGGAAAGTGGTACATTTATTAATTAAACTGAAGAGATAGTTCAGTTAGATTCAATATCATAACTCACAAATTGGAGGCTGTTGATTTTGATTCATTTAAACTTTAAAATCTTTATTAATTGCAAACAGTGCAATTATTTATGCTTCACAGTGCCTTCCCAGACCTTCCACCTTAGGTTCTGCTGCAAAAAGCAACAGGTAAGCACAACCTAAGGACATATATAAATAAATATTTCAATACATTAATGTTGTCCCTGTGAGGTTTTTGTGGTTGTGTATTCAAAAGCAATCTGCTACTGCTTCCCCAAAATGTATCTTGTTATTTATGCTACTATTTCAGTGGAAAGTCTGTAAGTTGTTCAAACAGCTGTTTACATTTCTAGGTAATGTTTTTATTTTAATTAAACAAGAATGATGAGTAGATTGCTGCTGTAATTGAACTACATCACCCTTTGTAATCTTTTCCCATAGAAAAATTGTTACATTTAAGAAAAGGCAATTACATGAATTTTAAGATTTAGGAAGTCACTTGGTCAGAAAGTTCAACAGCCTTCACAATCTATTTAAGATTGATAGGACATTTTCTTTGCCCTCCAAAGCTATGGAGTCTTTGTTTTTTTCTTATTCTTGAACTAGAGCAATTCAGTAAGGCCATTATGGGTTAGAGTTTTATTATGTCTCCTTTTTAGACAGTTTGGGTTTTATAACTTTTATATACACTGAAAAAGGAAAAAAACTTTAAAGAAAACTGGCAGTATGTTTTGATAAAAGGCATGTGCATCAGTGAAATGGTAACTGTTTAGCAAATAACCTTGCATAATCTGTATAGCAACCAGTATTTTTCTGATTTATAATATTTTAATAACTGACGCTGAATTTATTTCATTTTTTTTATTTTTTTTTATTTTTTTTTTTGCCAGTTTAAAATGTTTGTGTGTTCTTATTGATGATTTTGACTGGTACATATTTTGAGTTAAGATGAATGTTTTAAAGCAGCATCATATCAGTTTTGTTTATTCTATTTCTAAAATGTGCTGATCCTTTTAAAACTCCTGCTTATCTCTACAACAAAGAAAAATATTCAAAAATACTGCCTTCATTTTCACACACAGTGCTGAAGATGCTGCAAGCACCAAATCATAGCTCATAAAATCAGGTCCTGAGATAGTTACCCATAAAGAGGAATCCTTTGAGTGTATGCCATTGGTGAGCCGATGAGCATGGACCATAGAAGGGCTCAATGTAGAAGGTAAAATTGGCGAATCATAATTGAGAAATATGAAATGTATTCCCATACATAATATGGTATAGGGTATAATGTACCTGCTTTTGATCACTTCATTTTAAAGTGCTATTCACTTGCTCTTAAATGTTCCGTGAACTGTTAAGTTTCATAAGTTATGTAGTTATTGCACCACATTTGTGTGTGTGTGTGCGTGTGCATGTGTGTGTGTGTGTGTGTGTGTTTGATAGTCAGTGATAGGTATGTTAAGATAATATAAAGGAGCTCTTTGAACTTTCAGAGATTGTCAAGTTTGGGTTAGCTGTAGCTTGCATTTTTACAAAAGAAAATATAGATGAATGCTAATAGATATTGGGGCATTGTTTCTGTCTTATGAGAAATTTTTGTCATTACCATAAGCCTTCACTAATACTGCAAGCATTTTTTTAATGGCGCTAATCTTAACCTTGAAATTAATGCAAAGCAGAAAAGGTGAGCCAGTTGGTTTGAATGCAATGGGTGTTAGGAGTGGTATGAACAATGTTTAGTTTAGATTGAAATTGAACTGACTTATTTTATTTTGCACTTAAAATTTTGAAAATGTTTTTTTTTTAAAGATATGTTAGTGTGATACTTAGAATTCTTATGTTTTGATGTTTCTTTTAGAAATGAGAAGTATGCTTTTATTTTTAACAAATAGTTAGAACTAGTCATTTAATACTAGTTGTTTGTAGACATTGTAAAATATATCCTTAGACAAATACCTTGGTAGTTAATTCAGAAGGGTGGGTTTGGGTAGGAGTAGCAGAGTACCTTAAGAGAGAAAGAGGAATATATGCAGAAGGGATAACATTTCATTTGTGTGAATACTCTGCCAAGAGAATCAGTTCTGTCTGCACAGTTGTCTGTTGTCTAGAATAGGGGTATAGAAATTAGTAATCAATGAGGATGTCTTATTTTTAGTTCTTGAAAGTTCTGCCTCGTTTTAAAATGTATTTTAACAATACCTAAAAGATAATTTTGACTCTGAAAATAACCTTATTTTTTGCTTAGTCACTTGAGTTTTATTGCCACAGTATAAACTTCTGAGGGATTTTTTACATTGGTGTTTCTAAGAAGCAAATAAATCCCAGGGTTTTATTTTCTTCATTTATACCCCTATAGAAACTCTTAAATGTACTTGCACATATATATATTTTTTCTTATGCATGCTCGATGCATTTTCGTCCTGAGAAAAGTGTTCTCTACAGAAACTACCCGTGTGTAAAAAGAAGATTGGCTTAAAATGGCTACTGTGATGGGAACAGTGTCTTAGGGAGATGCAGCTTGGACTGGAGGTAAATTGAATACTTTACAAACTGTGGTTTAGAGTTTGCTTTAATGACATTGTATGTAAAAGAACACATGATTGCTGTAATTTTGTATTATGGTTTCCTCAATAAAAAAAATAAATGTACATTGATGAATATTATAAGGGAGTGTTTTGTCTTTTCTAAAATACTGAGACTTTTTTTAAATATAGAAGTTACATTATGGGTTTACATTGTAAAACAAAATTGTCTTCCAGAAAATTAAAATATAAAACAACTTGATGATAGAACATGGTAGCTGATTATTTACAAACTCATTTTAAAGACCGGAATTTAAAATTGAAGATTGTGCCATTCTCCCCGCCCCTGCCCCAAATCCTCTTGGATCTTGAAATCTTCAATTATATTGAAAGTGTTTTCTCCTGTGTGACTACTAATAACAGAGTTTCTCATTGTAATGTCATTTGTTCAGGCAAGGTCACAACATAAATTTGTTTTATAAGCTTGAGCATATATTACACACATTTGAAAAGTACATTCAATATTCTCAACACTCAGAACTCTGTATAGGCAGTGGTTTTCATCCAGTTTTCTCTGGCATTTGTTTCTTAGAAGTCTTTAATTTTGTGTTTTTCTCCATTCTCCTTTCCCATAAAAAAGAGTGATATCCCAATCCCCTCCTACATCTGCTTCACAAAGGCTCTGAAACTACAACCAAAATTATGTACTAAGGGAAAACTCCCACTCAAATTGATAGGTTTCCAAATTCATTGTCTCGGCTATTTCAGACTAATTTTAGGTGTAAATAGCTCATTGACGGCATTCTTTCATGCAAAATAATGTGTTGTTTTTGATATTTTTAAACATTGCTGTGAACTTACGGTAAATGCACAGCCTAAGTTCTGATATAATTGAGTAAATTTCCCACTTTCCCCATTAAATGCACATTAACTTATGCATAATTGGCGATGAATCTAGTGCTCATTTGGAAAGGAGGAAGGTTTTCTTTAGATGAGCTTGTGTTTTGAAGACTTATGAAAAGGAATTAGAAGTCAACATAGTGGCACTTCTGGTTTCCTTTTTTGGCCCCGGCACAGAAAAGATGGATGTAGTAAAGTCGGAGAGAGAAAGAGAGTTCCAGGCAGAGGGAAGGGGAGCTAGTAGTCATCAGCTAAAAAAGAAGAAGAAAAGTGATTCTTTTTAAAGGGAAAAATTTTTAAATAGAATAAAAGTATTATATTTTTTAAAAAGTGATTAATTCTTACTTTCAATTGTAAGAATACAGGTACTAGCTGCAGAGCCTTTATTGTTGACAGCTTTACACATATACTCTCCTTCATCTTCTGGGAAAGTTTCTGGTAAATAAAGGCAGTAAGTTTCTCCTCTTTCGATATATTGATAGTCTTCTCCATCCTGCAATAATTCTCCTTCAAACCACCATGTAATTTCTGGTTTGGGTTCTCCTGTTACTTTAACTGTAAATCTAACAGGCTCACTATCTACAACCGATGTGTTTTTCAGAGGCTTCTTGAACCATGGAGCTCCTGACCTGGTTTGCTCTTCATCTTCAATAGTGGAGCCATTCATGATGCTACCCTCCTCTTCTTCCTCCTCTTCTCTTTTCTATATTAAAATAAATACATTCAAGTTGTCACTTTTAGTATAGCAGCATTTTCAGGACAGTGGTTTAATCACAATCTTGGAAGTAAATAGGTTTTTTTGCCCTCAAAGTAAAGAGCATGTAAGTACAGTCGTGCACCACTTAACAACAGGGTACGTTTTGAGAACTGCATCATTACGTGATTTGGTCATTGTGCAAATATCATAGAGTGCATTTACACAAACCTAGATGGTATAGCCTATTGCTTTTAAGCTACAAACTTGTTACTGTACTGAATACCATAGGCAGTTGTAATACTATTTAAATATGTAGACATCTAAACAAAAGTTACAGTAAAAATAACAAATGTTTACAAAACATTCCAGTGACTTATTAAAATGGTTTTTTACCCCTCATATAAAACTATGGCTTTTAAGAGCATCTTTGGAAAATAAAGGCTATGTTTGTCTGGTACCTTCTGTAGTGCTGCATCAATTTCCTTTTGTTCAAACTGCATGCGTAGTAACTTTTGTTCTTCAATTCTTCTTTGTTCTTCTTCTTCTCTTGCCTTAGCCATTTGTTCAAATCTAGCTTTCATATTCACTTTATGAGTAAACGGAGCCTCACTTCTTTTTGCAGGCTTGACATCAACATCTTCTTCCTTTACAAAAGTGGGCCAAAAATAAGTGTGGCTTGTTTTCCAAAAACCAAGAATTAAGTATTAATAGTCCTGAAGTTGTCATTTATAATAGGCACAAAATAATTAACATTTGTATATATATTTGTGCTACACTATAGACAGCAGTTTTCACAATACCTTAGTTTGGGGAAAATGAAATTTTTATTTGTGAAACTTCTTAACAAATGGAATCCTTTTCTCCCAATGTAAAGATCGTACAGTATCAGTGGGATCCCAGTATATTTCCCCAACTGTCAGTGTTTGTTGACCATACTGAATAACAGTGGGGATACTACATATCATAACAAAATACTCCCATATTAACCACTTCATAATTTCCTTTGTCACCCTACTTAGTGTCATTCCAATTAATTCCATCCAACAAATTTATTGATGGTCAAATGGCAGAGAAGAATCAGGTAGAATAAATGGGAAAACTGAGGCAATGACGAATTTGGGGAAATCACTGAGGTGAAGAGTGGTTGTGAGTCATCTATTGAGGGATAAGAGAGGGAACCATGGAAATAAAAATTGAGAGTAATTTAAGAGTAGTGTTTCAACTGTCAAATAGTATGTGTGAGCCAATAAAATCAAACTATAAGGCCATCATGAGATCACTGACAGCCTTAGTAGAGTGGGGTCACGTAGATACAGTTTATGGTTTCTAAAGTACTTCAGTCATACTTGACAGTTTTGAAACTAGGTTTTTTATGGGTCTGTTTAAAGCAGTGGTTCTCAATCTGTGGGTCGTGACCCCTTTGGCGGTCGAATGACCCTTTCACAGGGGTCGCCTAAGACCATCCAGATATTTATGATTCATAACAGTAGCAACATTAGTTATGAAATAGCAACAAAAATAATTTTATGGTTGGGTCACAACATGAGTAACTATTTAAAGGGCCAGAAGGTTGAGAACCACTGGTAAAGATATCACCATATATATTACAAAATAAGCAAACTGTTCTAGGGTGCCAAATCAATGAAATTTTGGAACAAGTTTTAAAGCTTCCTATAGTAAAACCTTGATTTATGGATGTTTTACATCAATTTGAGATATTGCAGCTAAGTTCCAGTGAATGTAGGAGGAGGAATTAGAATAAGTTGAATAGACTGATGAACAAAAACAGATGTAGAGACAGAGAAGCATCGATCAGATGGATCAGATGCTCAAAACTCGGAGGGAAAGCAGGGGAGGGTGGGGGTGAGGGGGAAAGATCAATCAAAGGACTTGTATGCATGCATATCAGCATAAATGATGAATGTGGACAACGGGGTGAGGGTGAGAGCAGGACTGGGGGGATAAGGACACATTTGTAGTATCTTATTCAATAAAGGGAAAAAATACTTTTTAAAAAAATAAGTTGAATAGTTTTCCGACTTTTCTTGAATCAGATTTTATTGGGAAATCCTTGGGCATCAGACACAACCAGATACCTATTGGGTAAATTCTATTATACCTTCAGATGATAAGCATGCCTGCCCATGGCTATTGCTAATGAAGGATGTTCTGGGGTTCTTGTTATAGTTTTTAAATAGGCTAAAAAGTATATGTAAATAGAATTTCTCTGAAGCTAATTGGGGGAAACTTATTAACAGTGTTATTAAATGCAGTTGTTGGGGTTTTTTTTGTTTTGTGGTTTTGTTTTGGGGGGTTTTTTTGGAAAGAGCAAAACATTGATTTGTTGTTCCACTTATCTATGCATTCATTGGTTGATTCTTGTATGTGCCCTGACTGGAGATGAAACTCAAAACCTTGATGCATTTGGATGATGTTCTAACCAACTAAGCTACTCAGCCAGGGCAATTGTTGCCTTTTCTTAAATCTCTGAAAAACCACATTTTAAAATGTTACAGAAAATTAGTCTCCTATTATAGTAAAAGAATAACTTTTGTTCTCTAGATGCATTCTTAAAAGGATATTGACACCCCAGCACATGAATATTAAGGACAGTATAATTAGGCAGTAAATTTAAGATAAAAGGGAGCATAAGGAAATGGTTTTTGAGTATACCTTATTAGAAAATTTAACTATGAAGTCAAACACTGTAAGGCAATTAAAGTATTTTAAGTACCAAATGAGGTACGGGTTAAGGGCTACAGGAGCTGGAATGGAATTCTTGATTAGGGAAGGTTACATGAATGAGTTGGTCCTTAAAAGATGTCTCGAATAGAAGACGTATTGAACATTGACATTTGCTAAAGGCAAAAAACAGATACATGATGGGGGAAGCGGGGGGCGGTCCTATTCTGAAGTTGATTGTGCTCAATGCCAAAACTGCTAAGTTTTTAAAGGATAGCTCAATGACCTTTAATATAGAGCAGCGGTTCTCAACCTGGGGGTCGAACGACCCTTTCACAGGGATCGCCTAAGACCATTGGAAAACACATATATAATTACATATTTTTGTGATTAATCACTATGCTTTAATTATGTTCAATTAGTAACAATGAAAATACATCCTGCATATCAGATATTTACATTACGATTCATAACTAGCAAAATTACAGTTATGAAGTAGCAACAAAAATAATTTTATGGTTGGGGGTCACCACAACATGAGGAACTATATTAAAAGATTGTGGCATTACGAAGGTTGAGAACTACTGATCTAGAGGGATATGATCAGAGGAATGTCAACATTCTTCACAGGAAACAGTGTTCAGGGCATCCACATGGGTTATAGATCAACCATGTCCTAGTATCATATCCTTTTAAACAAAAGAGCCAATAAATAGCAATAAAACAAGAAGTAACCACTTCATGTATTTCTATCTTACATATTTTATAGGGCTAGGTATTACTGCCCTGAGGTTTCACTACCTTTAACAAAGGGAATCAAATGCATGCTTATAGCACTTTAGATAGAGCGACATTTATCTTGCTAAAGAACCACCTGATATTTTGGCCAAACAAACGTTAAATGTTGGTGTTCTCCAGGGTTTTATCATTTACTTTCAAACTATTAACTGTTTCAAGATGGTTTTATCTATTTCTATACTTTAAAATACTATCCATAAAAGTTTCAAGCCCTAGCTCCTGCCTCTCACCTGAGCTCAGTCCCTGTTTCAGACAGCTTTTACTTTATCTAAATACAGCTCAAAAAATGCAGTCCTTGTGTCCAGAACAGTCCTTGGGACATACTAGGCTTTCAAGTAAATTTTTTAATGTATGAATCTAAAACCATCTAAGATGCTAACTTGATATTACTCCGTGTCTTTAAAATCCCTTCAGTGCACCCTGATAAAACAAAGTTTCTTAACGGGTCATCTACGACCTTTCATAGTCATCTCACCTGTACTTGTATCTTTATCATTAGCTGTTTTTGCACTCTGTTTGCCTCAATAGTAGATTCTTTTTAGTCTTGAGAATTTGCACATACTTTCTATTAACAACCTCCTCTGATGGCCCTCCCAGCTTCCACACCTGTTTTATTAGTTGAACATCTGATGAAAATGCATTTTTAGAGAAATTCTGGTTGAATGCTCTGGCAGAAAAACATTCCCAGGTCCTATTTAAACCAATATTCATAACCATGGAACTAGTCCTCAAACTGGAAGGGACTTTACAGGTCATTTAGTGATCGCCTCATTTTACATTTGGAGGTACTTCAAATTCATGCTATCTGAATTTTTATTTAGTCATATAGGGTTTATTGGCCTCATCTTTAAGAGAGTAAATCAGTGATGGCAAACCTTTTGAGCTTGGCGTGTCAGCATTTTGAAAATCCCAACCCTAACTTAACTCTGGTGCCGTGTCACATATAGAAATTTTTTGATATTTGCAACCATAGTAAAACAAAGATTTATATTTTTTACATTTATTTTATATATTTAAATGCCATTTAACAAAAATCAACCAAAAAAATGAGTTCGCGTGTCACCTCTGACACGCGTGTCATAGGTTCGCCATCACTGGAGTAAATGAATAATCTCTGGGGTTTAATTCAAATATAAATTGGTTGTACTGATTCAAGCTAAAACTTACGCCCATAAATTTGTTTTTTGCTAGAGTGAAACATTTGGTGTTACTATTGGCTTTAATTCCAATAAAATTGTGAAACAATGCTAGAGTGGAAAAATAATTTCAAAGTCTTTTAAGATCTTGATGTGTTTTTGCTATTTAGTTCCCAAAACTTATTTCAAAGCCAGTGTTAACTTCTGTTGAATCATCATTTTAGTACCATAACAACGTTAAATATAAAATAGTTTACCTCATGGAAGTGTTCTGCTTCTCGCTCTTTAATTTCAAGGTCAATCGCTCTCCTTCTTGCTCGTTCTTCTTCTATCTTTTTCTGTATTTCTTTTTCAGACAACTGTCCAATTTTTTCAAACTTGCTTTTTAGATTTTTAGCTTGAATAGAGCCACTCCTTTTCAATTTGATTAATTCTTCATATTCCCTGCTCAATTCAAAGGTTTCATTTTCTTCCTCTTCCTTAAAAAAAAGGTATTTTATATATTAAATACTAGAAAGTGAGTTTGCATTATAAACATCCAAAAAGTGTTCACCATTTCCTATTTAAAACCCAAAATAAAGGTTAAATAACCTCCCTGCACAATACTTAAATACAACCTGCTAAAGTATGTATATCAAAAATTAACTTTTACTAGGAATTGTAGGAAGCTCTTTGTTCAAAGAACACTGAGATAGGGAGGAGTCAGATATAAGTTCTAGTTCTGACACTCATACTGTGTGGCCATTTTATTGCTTAATTCACTGGACATGATTTTTTCATCTCTATATAATAGAGTCAGAGTATCTCTAAATGCTTTTTCTCTTAGATTTGATAATGGCTGGTGGCCTAATAAAGTTAAATGTCAATCTTAATACTCAAATGATACAGCACCTCTACAGATACAGTCTGGTAAAATCCCTACACTTCACTATGTATCACTTGTATTCTCAATTTTATATTTTGCCAAGAATAGGAGTCAATCAAAATCGGGATCTAATTTTTTTTTTTTTAAAGAAGTGTCTCTCTTCATTTTACTCTTTCTTTAATCCTCACACAAGCATATGCTTTTATTGATTTTTAGAGAGGAAGGGAGAGAAACAAAGATTAATAGAGAAACATTCATCGGTTGTCTCCCATATGCATCCCAAACGGTGATGGAACCTGCAACCTAAGTGTGTGTCCTGACCAGAAATTGAACCCGTGGTGTACTGGACAACACTCCAACCAACTGAGCCGCCACCAGCCAGGGTGGGATCTAATTTTTTATACCACTCTATTTTGAAAACTTTTCACATTCCTTTCCCTTGGCTTTTCACAATTTATGATTACTAGTTTTTTCTAAAATTTGTTGCCGTACAGATGTCACCCATTGCTCCCACCCCAGTCCTTACCCTGTCTATTGTGATTACTAGTTCTTTGTATACTTCTTAAACTAAAACCTAATTTCATTAAATGAAATGGTAAAATATTGCTATTATTCCTGGTAAACTTTTCCTGGAGAAGACCTACAGTTTTAGGCTGAGGAGGCAAAAAAAGCAGGGATGGGTTAGGGGAGGTAGTCACAGTGAATGTGACATGCGGCCTAATGGCTCATTTAAGGGAGGAAAACATTTCTTTGAACTACCTCTATTTTTTCATCTAGAGGTAAAAACAGACTACTTAAAATGCCAGAAACTAATAAATTTATGATACTCATTTTCAGCTTCCTTTTCCAAATAAATGCTATAATTTAGGCTAGACCTTGGAATATTTCCCAAAAGCATACTAATTTTATTAACTATACTAGGGGCCTGATGCACGAAATTCGTGCACAGGGGGGGGGGGGGAGGAGTGTCCCTCAGCCCAGCCTGCCCCCTCTCACAGACTGGGAGCCCTCAGGGGATGTCCTACCAACAGCTTAGGCCCGCTCCCTGGGGGCAGCGGGCCTAAGCTGCAGTCTGGCCTCCCTCTGCAGGAGGCAACTGGGTTGATCAGGGGAAGGCGCCAGCCCCATCACCCCGCTGCTGCCGCCCCTGCCAGCC